CTTGAGATGGTAATAAGGGTAGAAAACATCGTCAAACGTGAGGCCAGTGAAATGATGACGCTAAGTGCTTATGCATCAATAAAAAGATCCTAGTCGCATCATTTTTGAAATAAGTTTGTGTACTGTCACGATTAGAAAGCCAAACTTTCTAGTCCAGAAGAGAACATCTTAGGAGATAAGTTATTGCGAGACTTATGGATGTTGTCATCTCTTTTTAAGAAAAAAAGTACATGACGAACTTCTTTTATACGCCAGAAACGACTCTGTCTTGATTATGGGCTTTGCTACTTAACGCTGTGCACCTGTTACAAACCCTTCATCCAATCGTACATGTGGAAGAAGCTAACATAATTCATTTTTGAATCAACCTCTTGATCACAAATCGACCCGTGTCTTTGACTAGCTGGTTTAAATGCGTCTAGGCTTCATATTTTTCGTGCTTGTGGCTTTACATATCGCGTCTATAAGTGCAACGACGCAACGAACATTTAAACCGATTCTCGATTCGATCCCGGAGGACAAGGTGCTAGAAACAAAAAAAACGGGGCGGGTTAAAGCGTTTGCTGAAATACTTAGCAAATTGCGTTCCTCTATTGCAGGTCGCTATGATAGCGATTTTCGTCACACCTCAGAAGTTCAAAAATTGCTGGATTCCAGTAAAAGCGCAAAAAAATGGAGCCTCGGTGGTCTCACAGCCAGGTTAAAGTCTATGAGGTTCAAGTTAAAGTAAACATCAAACGGTCTCCATGAAGTCGTGCTGTTTCGCTCTAAAATTGACTGACACCGGATTTCCACGCAGAATCCATGTCTTGGATTAAGAGCTTGTGATGCCTCTTAGCTAGCAAGCGAGTTTGACGTCTTTTCGTGCGAGCGGTTATTTGCTTAATAAGTAGCGTATATTATTTGTGTCTACTGGTTTTATAGTACAGCAACTGTGCAAATTTTAGAAGCATTAATTTGATTAAAACAGTAACAAATTGCACTCGAAACGTCTTGTCCGCGTATTGCACCAAACACAGCTGCACTCACGTCCCTTCTGCTTGGCACTACGCGTTCAAGAGATCGCATAGATGAAGGGGAACGAGAACGAGCAAGAAAAAAACTCAAGGATCTTGATGGTGTAAATGTGATCGCACAACAATAAATGACAAACTTCTTACTCATTTGGAATCTTATTGTTTTTAATACTTTATTCATTGTTTTTGTGATTTATTTTATTGAAATGCAGGGTGTTGAGAAATGATGAATGACAAATTTACATTTTTGGGTTTTCTCTAGTAGATACTTTGTTAGTAGAGGTCTCATAATGGTCGAAGTCAGGAAGCAACTTGAGTGATTGAGGTTTAGAAAAAAGCTCCTACCCCGACCGATCTTTTGATCTTTAGATCTTTTGATCTGTTAGGTGCTGTATCGGAGTTGGTGGTGCGGAATAATTGAGAAGTCATCAATTTTTTTTTCTGACTTTTAGAATATGCTACTAGGTCTTAGTACCTTCTTTCTGTATTGCAGAATAAATTCCAAATCATACTCATGCGTATTTTGGAGATGATCAATAAATTATCTTCCTCCATCTCATTTAACGTAAGATAAGTATCCATCTAACAATGTGAGATTAGAGTTACTCAAGAGTATGATTAAAGAACACTATGCTTTGCTGTCGAGCTGTCCAATGATAGAAACCCAAGTGATTTGCACGTTTGATCTTTGCGATATAGAAAGAAAATGTAAATAACGTCAATAGAGTCAAGAGTACCTGTAGCTTTAGGTGTTGGATTTATTGATTAGTTATGGCCATCTCCACAGTAAATCCAAGCATCCAACTATGTAAAGATGACTAGCTAGGATCAATAATTTACAGCATTTCTACGAATAACTGAAGGCTAAATTCCATAAATTTGTTGCTGACTCGAAGTTTCGAATCGTTTCCCATGAAGAAGTAATCGAAAGGCAAAGATCCGGCGGCGGCATGAGTACGAAATAAATGTGGCTCTATCGAATCACTTTGATCTCATGAAGTAAAGTCACGCATTTTCGCTAAGTATCTGCGCCGGCGTGGAGGTTTCTCGAAACGTCCACATGATACTCTCTCATATAAACTTGATGATCAGTAAATCTGGGTGAGATGAGTTTGAAATCCTATGTCCATATCTTACAATTTGGAATCACGAGAGAGCAGTTCAGCAAAAGCTTCAAAGTCTTTAAGTTTAGCCCTGCGAGCGACAAAATCCAGGCCAAATTTAGTCACTTAAAGACGCTGGGTTTCATGGAACAACTTTGGCGTGAGAGCCCCTTTACTCTCCACAACGTCCTGCAGCTCTTTCATTGCACGATTTTCACTCAAGCCAGTAATATACGTCTTCGACGTAGGTGAGCAGTTTTTCCGAGTTCGTTCGTTGTGCCCTCATTTTCACTAATCTCGAGAAAACATCATGGAATTCATGAAAGCAAGGATGGACAAGTACGTCGATGGCAGAAATTCGCTGAGTATCGTTAACCGCTAGCACCTCTATTATTGGATTTGACTGTGAGTAGTTTTAGTAAATGTTGCAATACTGACCGACGGGAGTTGGGAAGTATTTTTTTTTGGCAATGGCTGAGTCGCAGGATACTGGATCAGATTAATATCATATATCCTCACTTTCGTAACTATCGTAATGGTTACCCGCTCCTATCCAAAGTGTCGACAGCGATCTTTGTGCAGGGAGTACAGTGACTCTTTATCCTCAGATGGTAGTAACCACCATTTGCGTCAAGGACGACGCATTAGTTGTAGTACAAGAGATCAAGCCATAGTCCAAGTCCTTATAGACAGAGAAGCTATCGTCGTCGCAAAAGAAGGCAAGACTTTGCTAACAAAAGTAAAGATCTATCAGTGAATGAGGTAGATCTGATTTGAGAGTTGTAACATGTTTGGTATACTATTGCATGTATACACTGATGTACGGAAACGAGCCTCATCTTGATTCGAAATGGATGTATGCATTTCTGCAATTCGTCGCCGCAACGTATACGGTAGAATGCGAGCAATGCAAGAACAATCACAGCACCACTAAGGGCGACGCCCTCTGCTCTGCATTTATTCAGGGCTTCACGCACTGATTTAGTTTCTCCATCGGCAAATAGAGCTTTGGTGTCGTTAACTTCAGGAGGTACAGCAAAATCCTTCTGATTTTTACGAGCTGCAAGGAGAGGTACGAATTTGCGTGCATTGCGACGAAGGATGCGACGTCCGAAAGTTGCATCAGAACCTTTGAGCAGCGCTTGACCCACTTTATCCTGTCAAGCCATATTCGGTAGAGCGACGGACGGAGCTCAAATTTTTCTGCGATCGACATAGATGGTCGTTGGTATTCTGATGACGATTCTCTGGCAAGTTTTGCTACATGTACAAGTATGCAATTTAATATATCACGTTATCTGAAAATCCATCAGACAAGTACTGGTCTGAAAATAGCATCAGACGAGCAGTATCCTTGCGTTTGGCCTCCCACACCCAAAAGTAGAATGACAATTGGCAATGGCGATCAAAGCCGACACTACACTCCCTTTCCACGAATGATTGCCAGCTCGTAGGACTACCATCTCCATAGTCTGACGGTCTAAGTATTTTTACCCGCAGCAAGCTACTTAAAGTGTCCACAGTAAATATCTAAGAAACAATTATATCGAATATTTCAGATTAAATAATATCTGGACCCTGAAATTTTATGAGAAGTGTATACCTTAGTGTATACCAGCAAATTTATACTTAGATGCATAAAAAAATGGTAATTCTGTAGTCTTGTTTACTTAACCCTTACAATACCGGAACATTGAAAAAAACGAGTTTGATGCACACTTGGGTGCTAGCCGCATGTCAAAAGAGAAAGACGGATAAATTATATAAAATCGTAATACATGTATATGTAGTATGAGGCTAAATGAAAGTTAATTAGATTTTTTGGGAATATTAAAGTGAATCGACAGAAGAAATTGTCGTAGAGGCTCTCTGTTCTGTTCCTGGTGAGAGCATACAGGTCATAAAAAAAATCTCTTCCTCTGGGTGGCTGAGACTTCTATGGCCACGCGCTTGGCTTTGCTTTTAAATAGCCCACAGCCCGTCTTGCTTGCGCGTCAAGCGTCCAAGTCAGGACTTCGCGCGCAAGAATGGGCACATTCGCACAATGCTTCAAAGAAAAAGAGTCGTATCCAGAAAGGGACACTAGGAAGCGACAGATGCCGTGGTTGCTCGCTCCGCCAAAATAATCGATGCTCCTTTTTATATTTGCGTTTTGTACGTAATTGCAATACTTTTGAATCCACCCGGACTTTCAACTGTTTCACTAAGTCCGGTATAATTGAAGCAATAATCAGCAAACAGCCCCGCATCGATGCAAGAGACTCGTCTTTTGAAGGTCTGCGTTCTGTTGCCCTAGATTTAGTGAGGCGCAATCAAAGTAATTTCATTCCGAGTAGGCTGCCGTGAACGAGGACATGACGTCTTTCCAGTCACGGGTTCGTCATTTGCCTCCTGATTGGGAGCCTAATCCTTCGAACATCTCAGCTGAGAGAGGTGGGACAGACGAGATGCAAATGTTTTCAGCTGCCATAAATGAATCATCTGTGGGTCAAGTATATTCGCAGCGTAAAGATGTCAACGTGACTTAGGTTCATCGCCTTTGGCGTGTTCGTAGCGCTTACGTTCTCAGCACTCCCCCCTGTCCTTGCGGCAAGGGGGACAAGGAGAGTCTGTGTATACACCGCACCCCGTCGAGGACTATCCGTGAGAACAGTAACCATGTTTGCTTTCATGTCTGGTGCCGTTGAAGCGATTTGATTTTTTCTATGGCGTAGTTTGCCAGTTATCTCGCCCTTTACAAAAAACAAGAATTATGAGCGCCGAAATCGACGTACTTAAAACGGCTTAAACCGGCTACGACGTCCATGTGTTTTGATTTGGGGATACTTATATAAATGTCGAAGTCTCTGTTTGGCCTTCCACTAAGATTTTGAGGTCTTTGACAGCGCGAAATGCTGTCAAGGCGTCGACCTAAACTCGAGATGCGGTTACATTTGGGCATGACGAGGCTGGAACGCCTCGAATCATAGGTCGGCTGGAAACTGAAAAACAAATGTCTCGCCCACTTCTCTCCCGTTTGATCATAAACGAGTCATGAAACCATTTAGGCCAAAGAACAAATTGCTTTTGGTCCAGGCACAGAGTTGCAAAATCTATATTTGGAGTATAAAATTGCCTGAAACTGACAACAAGCGTATTGCTTGGTGCCTCAAACAGAGATCGGGAGGTAGAAGCGGTTGTATGTCGAGATCTCAGATTTAGACGGAAAGGGCGATCTAATGTCGTGGTGTCCAGGGTATACTTCTGTTGAGGCGAGATAAGACGGAGTATGTTGTGGTCCTCACGGTGTATACGGCTTGAACAGCTGCATTGTCCCCTGTACCAAGCGTCGAAGTGACTAGGAACGGCAGTCTCTTGTGCAGGAGTAAATGAACGGCGACCGAAGGTCTCGCGAATATTGTCTTGGGGATAAGAAGGTTGATTTATTCTTATCACGATGCGGCGGTACCGCTGAATAAGCACTACATTATGACGAATCCACCATGCGAAAAAATTGGAGATTTACGCTTAGGTGGCAAATAATTAATGGAGTGACCTAAGTGGTCGTAGAGGCCACGATAAGAAGGATGATTTTTTCTTATCACGATGCGGCGGTACTGCTGAATCAGCACTACCGTATGAGGAATCCACCGTGTGGAAAAGTTGGAGATATACGCATATGTGGCAAATAATTATTCATTCGTGAATGGAGTGATCTGAGTGGTCGTAGAGACGACAAGTCTTTCATTACTTCCAGCAGAACATTTTTGCAGAGCAGGTATAATCATCTATTGGGATAAATACAAGATGGTGCGTATTTATAACAAGCTAAACGCAGCCTCAGTTCCGCTGAGAGCGCCGAATACTTGAAATGACATGCTCCCAACTGCTACTGTGGATTTGACAGCGCCTAGCAATCCTTTGGTTTTGTATCCCAACCAGTAAAATTAACTTTGTTGTTTCTGATGCGCAGCTTATGCAGTCTTTTGTAAACATTTGGTAAGCAAATTTATTATGAGTGCCCGATATCGATGCTGTCGTTGATCCGTGACACCTATCTCTTTCACTATGTTTGCCGATCACAAACTGACGGATTGATCATTTGATCCACACAGTGCTTAATTTAATCTTCACAAACATTATCTCTCGATGGATACATAACACTCAGAAGTTGTCCCTAGACTCTTAGATGTCTAACATGTTGGTGAGCCATAACGCGTAACTTTTGGGATACTTATCTTGCGGTGGAAAAGGCGGTATCGGCGTAATAAAAGCAGCTATGGAAGACGATGACTATGAGGAACAATACACAATGCAGCCTGACGGAACTGATTACGAAAGCAAGATCAGTAACTCAAACTTTGACTGGCCTGGCCAGCTTTCTCCGCATAGGAAAAAAAACAGTCGTGTAGAGCGTGATAAAACGATTTCAAACTGTAAAGCCGACCGCAGACGCTGAATGAGAACTGTCAGAGGTCGCAAGTAGACAATATGAGAATTTCAATGCGACCTAAATCGCGGATTGAGTTAAAAATGCTGATCTAGTGACTTCATTGGACCGCATACATTACGTGAACGGATTCTAGCTCGTATATTGCGTGGCTATGAATAGAGCTAATATAGCTTACCTGGCTCTGTATACACAGCGCATGGCTCCCACATATTGGCTATGTCAAGTCAATGCAAACACGGTATTCCCTTAGCAAAGCTGATTAGTCCGCCTGACCACGTCGAAGGTACTAGATGAACACACTAATTTCTTCACGGCATAACAAAGTTTATTCCAAAATCGTGTCGTCGGCATCGATCGGTGTCAAGCAAAGTAGGCAACCCTCAACTTCGCGGCACATATTCATCGTCAAATACCTTTTTCTTTGTAGAGCATCACAAATTCTTGAAGGTGATCAGACCGACATTGTTCAGAGAGGTCTGACGGGGGATAAGGTCTCGATAGCGCTGAAATTGATCAAACAGTCGGAACCGCACTTGACGGTCTCGTGTTTGTTTACACCAACATTCAATACGTCACCTGCATTGACAGCCTGGGTTATATCATCGTTTGCAAGGCGCACGTAAACTCGCAAGATTGTATCGTATAATTTCTTACACTATTGGGTACATCACTTGCTGCATTGCACCCGGGCAAATTATCCAAACACGATTTCACTTGGCAGATCTTGCAATACCCCCAATCAGTTGAAGGAGTCTTTAATTATATGCGCAATATTAGCGCGCTGACACCTCTGCTGTTCCGGTTTCTTGCGGGACTTTGCTGCTTAATGTTCATTTCCTCCACAGTAAGAAATAACACCCGTAAGTTTCATCGGTGCTATCGCTCCTCGCATCGTTCATTGTCTTCTGCAATCGGTTCCGAAAGTGACTTCATCAAAAACGTCAAATTTATCTTTGCACGTTGTGGCCTTGTGAGGCAACCGAGACTTCGCGAGTTTCGACATTAGCGAGTCGGCGGTCGACACCAACGGGGTTACCGAGGACCGACACAACTAGGTGTGACTAGTCCAAAGCGTGATAATAAAATTAAATTGTACTCGATGACCGCAGCACCCACAGTGTCGATTTTTTGTTAGTGAATTGATCATGTATTTTGCTCAAGCCCATCATCACCCTTTTGAAGTAATTCATGAAGCCGTATAAGCGAGAAAAAGCTTGTTGATGACGCTCATATTCTCGAGTTCGACATCCCATATAAACATACATCGTGCGCAGTATATATAGCTGGGACCAGATGCAAAAGCGATCCTGTAACGAGGTTACACATACCCTGGTAACAGATGTGTATGTTACACCACATGGGCATGGTGTGACTGCACCCAAACGAGAATACGGCACGTGGCTGGATAGCCAGTAGTTATGCATGCATTTAGATTTTACTATATATATATATAGAAAAATCTATACATTTAAAATTAGGCGGCTTTGCCGCAAGTAAAAACAAATAAAGTCAGTTCTGAATTTAAACGGAAAAGTTGATTAGCCTTGGGAAGGCAAAAAAATTTTTTGCACTAAGCGGATTGCGATCCGCTAAACTCGTATTTGTTCTAAGTTTAGAAGAAAAGGTCGGTGACCTAACTTACGCTTCCTCAAGGCGCAAAGCTACGGCAGCCCCGCTGCAGATCCTTTATTTTTCAAAAAGATCGGAACTACGGAGTTTAACGTGGATTCCTTGCGAGCATCAACCGGTCCCAGCGAGGTGGCACAGTATTTAAGCTTAAACTCCCAGAAGTGACCTCCCACAAGTCATCTTTCTCAATCCCATATTCATATTGATTTTTTTGTGGGAACTGGTATCGTCAATCTTGTTTTGGGGGCTGACAGCAGAGACGTTCAATGCCAAGGCGAGCTCGTGATTGGGGGCTAACGACCTAATAAAAAATGCACGCAACATTAAACGACAAGAACGCAAAGCGAATGGAAAGCTCCAAAGTTCACGATTTTTTTGCCACCAGAACTAATTTATTTGAATATTATTAATACAAATATTAACTCTAATTCAAAATAAAACAAATTGTTTTGTACTCAGCACTCCGCTAGCATTAATTCTTCGTGTATGCACTTACTCGACATCTTTTCTTCCACACTTGCTGAATATCTACTAAATCATTGTCCGGCCACACTATTAATACCAATCGAAGATTTTTAACTCGTTCCAATCAATAGCACAATTAACCATTGTGTCAACAGCTTGGGCACAATCATATCAGCGAGAGAGATCCATATTGATATTATACCAATAATTCTCCGTCATTCGACAACAACAAACTTGTTGTCGAACTTTTTCCAATCCGCCACATCTTTGGCTCAGCTCAGCCAAGCGGTGGAGATTCACCTTACAAATATTATACTCCGCTAATCATAGCAAAAAAAACTTAAATCTTTCAGTCGTATTTCTATGGGATCATTGAGTCACTCTATAGGCACTCAATTGGATTCTCGACAATTTTAAGTGTGAAAGCTACGTTCATATCAGACGTCAATATGGATGGTCTAGTGGGCCAAAGCACTCAAGTGTCAAGGGCTGATGTCTATCAGGATTCCGCAGCTTCTTTGTGAGTCGTGATGATGAGCTAGCTCAATGCCTGTTATGAAACTAGCTGGATGGCAAAGATTGGTTGATAATTTACTTCGTAGTTGTTTTGAATGCGCAAGATACCTTGGTCGACCGGTCAGGCGCAACTTTATTTTGTCGTACAGACAATACCTTAAACCCGATAAATTTAGTCACCAGACTCGTATTTTTTCTTTATTTCACGCTGATTACGGATCAAATGCGCCCATAGATCTGCGCATTGGACCGTGGTAAATACAGATAATACATCTGTAACTATGATAGAATAGTCGTCACTTCTCGCGGAAATCGGCATATGGTCATGATTTTTTTTGCAGGATACAACTTGAATATAAGTACGGCCATTTTGTGCGATGGAAAACGCCCGTCAGAATATGACTTGCTACAAGTAACTTGTATACGTTTTCTTGCAAATTCACACAGCGTATAATTTACCAATAATAGAGAATAGAGCCATAGTGTACAAATTCCGTGCTGCGAATACCACTTTGATGCCAGAAGCGAAAGTTCAGTTCTATCAGCTTTTCAGTGGCGATGACGCAGAGACTATTTATTCGTAAAGTAAGTGACGAAGAGGGTCTTGTTTTGAGTACTCAATCGTCACCTCCGGCAAAAGCACTAATCGTACTTTAGATTGATTCCAAGAGAATAGTTGCAAGGAATTCAAAGACGAAATCATTTAAGTCGGTGAAGTCTCGCTGACAAACGTAGCGAGGATGATTTCATTGCTACTCCTAGGTTGCCTAATCAATATCAGTTCAAGTGTCCTGCACTTCTCACTTGCTCAAACTCGAAGCGAATTTTTCCATTCCAAAGCTAGCAAAAAACAAACTTAAGAGCTGGTCACTGAAAAGAGGTGCATCATACAAAACTTACTTGCATGTAAGTTGTGGCAACATCAGTTGATAGCCGCATGTTTTCTTTTCAGCAAGGTGTGTACCTAGAAACAGCATCAAACCCTTCAACTTGGGACTGTATTTCAACCGTCTTCGCATCAAACTGCCTTAAACATTCACACTTAGGCCTGGCCTTCAATAGCGTCGTCGAAACAGTTAATTCTGCGAAGTACAGAGGTTGGCACTGACCTTCTCCAGTTTATGCGGTATACAGCTTGTATTGTCTCCTGTATCCAACTACAACAGTGGCCAAGTTTCTTTAGCTAAAAGAATACTATTGCCCCCATGAGCAGGCAGTAGTACTCCTGAGTTATATATTTTGTCATATTCTTGTCGGTCCGACAGCTGGGTCTTGTGATATACACTTTCCATGTGCTCCGTTGCTTTGTGAATGTACAGTTACCGAGACATATCCGCTGCAATTTTTATGGCGTTTATAAAAAAATTCGAGCACGTTCTTGCACTTACACTCTTTATAATGTGGCATATGTACACAATTTGCCACTAGGATACTGGATGTTTTGTGGCTTATGTGGTAGTTGAAAAACCGATGGTGCTTTGACGGAGGAGTTGGTGGTGGCACCGCCGATACGCTGTTGATAGCGAGAGGAAGTACTCCGTCTAGTGTATTGAACTCCGTGCTTTTGATATACGATTTTAGGCTTGTGCCATGTCCACTGTCATTTGCTTTGCTACACGGCGAACTCGCATGTTGAGCTCGGATGCACCGTCGACTAAAAAATGAGTTTGTTCATTACAAGTGACTGCAAGCGACTCATGGCGTTTATATTATTGCAGGAGCTTCTGAGTGAGCTCCAGGGTCCACTATGAGCACGTGCAATCGTTGAGAGTAGGAGTAGAATTCGCGCAGGTATAGTGGGTACATTAAACGTACTATACGCATGGCGTGGCGCCTGACGAGCTAGAAAAGCCACAGCAAGTGACTCCATGACATGAGCTGAATAGCTGTCTTCTTCATTGCGAAGCTTCTGATCAATGGGCAACAGTTGCTATGCTTATATTACCTGATTAAATGCGTACTATCTCTCTCAACATAAAATTCTAACTTTAAAACTGGCCTATTACCCCCCCTTATAATGTCAAAGATCCTTGTGTTGGCAGCTTTGCCCGCACTTATTAACAGATGTACAGTTCTCAGGGAAGGGACATATAACGGGATTACACGTACCCTGGTATGAAGGGGTGGGTCACACAACTTAATGTGACCATACAATGGCGTGGCTACACCTTTACAAGTAGCCACAACGTGGCTGGACTGCCAGTAGTTATGCACTTAAATTAGGTTTTACTATTTCATTAGGAGAACCTATGGATTTAGATAGAGGCAAAATCGCCTCTATCTACAGTTTACATTTTGAACAGATGAGCTAACATACCTTGGGCTAAGGTTGTGGTTACTCTTCGAGTAAGCGGATTGCGATCCGCTACACTTGTACTGGTGCTAGTATAGAACGTAAGGTCGGTGATCTTAGCTTGGCTTTCTCTAAGCGAAAAAGCTACGAAAGCCCCGCTGCAGGATGGCTCAAAGACTACTCTTTGTTAGATCTTTTACGAGGAATCCACTCTCACTTCGTCAAGAAATAATTTTACACAAGCCGATGTGGATACATCACTTTTCAGCCTGTTACTGGTATCTTTGATATTAGCTTGATCACACCAGAAACCATACCATCGCCCACCGCAACAATGGCTAACAACATATCACAGTCACTTTGTCAAGGGTACGTACGATACCTACGAAGCAGCTTAATGTCAAGACAACATTGCCTGAGTGCATGAGAATACATTCATCTCCCAAGAGTTAATAATAGCATGCTTAATACGAAGTCGTCTTATGAGAAGCCTGGATCACGATGTGAAAAAGCTCGAGGAACTTGTGAAGTCATACAAAGTTTTTTATCATTCTAACAGCCTGAATTTCGTGTATTGACCAGAATTGACACAAAAACTATTAACAAACTATCAAGCAACTACTATCTGGTTGGAGAAAATGGAGTCCAGAAGCTGACATTATCCACCAATCACATCTCCACACTCCAATAACTCATTTTGGCGGGAAAGCTTTCACCCCTCCTAAAACCATACAAAAAGTAAATTTCTTTCTTCTCTGCGCCACCGCCAACACCACCAGTCGGCTATTTTCCTTGTCAGATTCAGCCACTTGCGATATACTCCACCAGCATGTTTGAGGCAAGACTCCCACAAGGTCGCATTTTCAAGCTCATTGTTGAGGCAATGAAAGATTTAATTTCCGAAGGGAATATTGACTGCACTAAGTCAGGCCTCGCACTTCAGTCCATGGATGGGTCACATGTATCACTAGTGTCGCTATTACTACGTGCTGAAGGGTTTGAACATTATCGTTGTGATCGCAATATCTCGTTAGGTGTACAAACAGCATCACTATCTAAGATCCTGAAATGTTCTGGTAACGACGATGCTTTGTCACTCTCTGCTGAAGATAATGGTGATGCTCTTAATATTATGTTTGAAGCAACTTGTACGTTGATCAAAGATTCTAGTACATTATTATAACAACAACAACTAATACTTTATTGCTTGTAGCTGGTGATCGTGTTTCAGACTTTTCACTCAAGTTAATGGACATTGATAGTGAACATTTGGGCATCCCTGGTACTGAATACGTGGCAACTGTACGCATGCCTGCTGGCGAATTTCAACGTATCTGTCGGGACTTACAAACGATGGGTGATACTTGTACAATTGCTGTTGGTAAAGAAGGCGTGAAGTTTTCTGTCTCGGGTGACTTGGGTGCTGGAAACATTACTTTAAAAAATAATACGGCGGCTGAAAAAGAAAGTGATCGTGTGATTATTACAATGGAAGAACCAGTTGAGCTTACATTTGCTCTTCGATATTTGAATATGTTTGCCAAAGCTACGCCATTGTCGGAGACTGTTACGTTAAGCATGTCACCTGGTATTCCTGTCGTCGTGGAGTATGCAATTGGTGACATGGGATATATGCGCTTTTATCTGGCACCAAAGGTTGAGGAAGATGACTAAGTCGAGCATAGGTAGAAACCCGTATATAAGAATGTGCTTGGTTGTTAAGGTAGTTTGTTCTTTTCAACCTTGTTTACTTGAAAACATTATACTATCATGCCATTAGTTTTGGCAGAGCTACGTAAAGAATAATACAATTATTATTGTAGCGTTTAGCTTTGAAATTCTTTTATAGAATTGTAAAAGTCATCAACAATCTACTTGAATTATTGACTCCATGACTGAAGATTCGAGTACGTGACGTAAAAGAATGTTAGCAATCCAATCAAGATGACAAAGGAGTCGACAATCTTATCAAACCATGATGGGTTGGGATTCAATTTGAGATAAAATAGTGGAGGATATACCAAACTCAACGGCACTAATTCCATCAAAATAATCATCAGAACAAGTCATAAAAGTAAAGAATAAAACCTTACCACAACAGAAAGCACCAACAATAGACACAAAGAGGTCTAAGCGGTCCTGGCCAAAATAGGCAATAGAAATTGTAACTAAAACCGCCAGAGCACGCAAAAAGTTTTTCGCCACTTTTTGGCCTGAAGCGCGTTTTGGAAATCCCAACATTTCTTCCATAATTTTCACCGCAGGAAATAAAAATAATGGATATGATAGAAGTTGAGCAAAAGCATAACCAAATTGTACTGAACTGGACCAGCCATTACGTGGCAAACTGGATGTAACCATGGGAGCAATGTTATTACCAAATGTCACATAATTAATACCAGCAAAGAACGAGTAGAAGAAAAGTAAACCAACGACTGTCCACGAGAGTAAACCTGGAAATCGTTTTTGACGGGCTTGATTGAGCGAATTTTGAGTAGGTAAAACCAACCCTATCCCCTCAAATGTAAAAACTGCAGTGCCAATGAAAACAGGATAATCATTTTGATTAAATAGGACAACATTTTGGGCCGGACCTTGAGTTGCAAGAAGTATCATGCTATTGCCCAAAATAAATGCCAGTCCATACAGAATAAAAACATCCGCAATTAAATTGCTAATAGAAAAGTAGCTGATGTATCGAATCCACGACAATGGAATGTACACAGCAAATTGAACCAAAATGAGAAACGACGCATTCACTCTGTATCCTAAAAAAATTAGGACTTCTGCCATGTTTTGTGCCACAAAAATCACATATGTGCAACAAAATCCTGCTTGCATAAGAATGATGGAAATTTGTACCATGCGTCGACCCCATGAACCATAAGCTTGAAACCCAACATGACCATATGTACCACCGACTAATTCACGACATTGCAACAATCGCAACATAGCAAATAATGTCAATGCAGCAACAAAAGTGAGACATAAGGGTGAAAAGAGAATGCCACCACTACGAAAACCTTCAGGTAAAAACAACACTCCAGTCCCAACAAATGATTTGAGCAACGTAAGCAAAGCATGCCACAATGTTGTAGTTTTGTCACGATCATTTGATTTTGGTGGAAATGTTGACGGAGGGATAAGTTCGGTTCGTTCCGATGCAGGTTCGAACCTATGAATATAACACAAGTCTCACATAGATTAGGAATCAGATTCAAAATGCTCACTAAATTATTGTAAACGTACGCTTTTGATGGACTGCGATGATGTGCTGGGAGTGGCGTTAACAATAAACTTTGTGCTCGTTCCTCTACGTTCATTTCATCATACTCGTCATTGTCTTGACTTAATATATTTCCAATAAATGGATCGTAAACACTGTTGATGCGTTTAATGATCTGATCACGAAGAGCTTTTGAGACCATTGGTCGAGGTGTTGTCTGTAGATGATGACGACGAAAGCCACCAGGTACAGCGATGTCAAGCGCCTTGGGTGTCGTAAGATCCGAGAAACCAGGCTCAGACTCCCGACGGCCTACTATATGAGGCGATGTAGCACGCATGAGTCGTAAAGTAAGAATTTAACGCAAGCACTTGTCGAATGAAGACGTGACGGATGCTGTGGGATGACAGACACTCGGAAACCGGCTTGATGCTGGCGACCGATGGGTATAATAAGTAGCCTCTAGAAGTTTATAATTGGTAATATAATTTGAAAGAGTCTGTTGTGTATACCTTCTGAATTCGATAAATAAAAAATGAGAGTCTTTTTTTCCTAAAGTTTACACATCATATTGTGACACTAGTGTTCGTAATGGAAGGACTTGGGGTCTACGCGTCTAGCGATGACGAGTTAGCACCGTCGCCGCGCTCTACTGATACATCAAATTTATCACTACCTTTCGTCAACTCAGCGCCATTTGTGGCTATAACAGACAGTGAAGAACAAAGAAACAAGACGGCGTTTATGATTGCTGCTTCTCAGACCCAATTAACTGTTAATCTCCCCATAGACACAACGTTAGCTCCATTTGTGGGACCTCATGGTGGAAATTCAACGAATTTAGCGTTGATGAATCCTCTTCGTGTCGGCAGTGGTAAGGAGATAGTTACGGGCGTTGTAGAACACGCAGAGATGGAGGACTACACATTTGAAGCACAATATCATACTCACAATCAGACTATTAGTCAAAATCCAAGTCGTCATCGAGTTAAAGGAGCTCCTCCACCTCCTCCTACTCTTCCTGGAGAGATAATACCTGACACAATTGTCGCTTCAGGTGAGGAAGACGTATTTACAAGACGCAATGCCAAGAGAAAGAACCAGACAAGTTTAAAAGCACGAGCTTTAGCTGAAAATGTAGGCGACGAAAATGTTACTGGTGTATGGGCTCCATATAAAGAGAAGGGTATTTTCCTGACCGATGCCGAAAAAGGTACAATGAACGAACAGCAAAAGATGTTGCAAGAGGAACACGAAGTGAAGCGTCGCAAGACTGAAGGGAAAACGGAAATGGATGAAGAAATGGATTTTGATAGGATGGTTGAGAAGAAGTTATCCCATTTATTACCAGCAAGACTTAAGGCTGGACAGACAGCACTAGAAGGAAAATCGACGTTCTTGGGAGACAACGAGTACGACTACCAAGGACGTGCGTGGGTGGAACCTCCGCGTACACTTAAACCGGACGATGGTGATCATCAAGTGTTTTTACCTAAAAAATGTATACACAAGTGGATGGGACATACCAAGGGTGTACAAGCTATCGAATTGTTCCCAAAGTATGGACATTTGCTGCTTTCCGGTAGTATGGACAACACTGTTCGAATTTGGGATGTTTATAATGAACGTAAATGTCAGCGTATCTATGAAGGTCATTCAGGAGCTGTGCGAGGTATCAACTTTAGTACCGACGGCAAACAATTTTTAAGTTGTAGTTTTGACCGATTTATCCAGTTATGGGATACAGAAACCGGACAAGCCGTGCATTCATTCACAACACGTCGAGTTCCGTACTGTGTCAAGTTTTATCCCGTCGACAACACGCAATTTGTAGTTGGTGACTCGAATCATATGGTCGTACAATTCGATACTCGATCTGGTGAGATCGTGCAAGAATATAATCATCACTTGCAAGCGGTTAATAGTGTGACGTTTGTGGATGACAACACAAGATTTGTAAGTTCATCAGATGATAAGAAGGTGCTTGTATGGGAGTGGGGTATTCCAGTTCCGATCAAATATATTTCCGAACCGAGTATGCATTCAATGCCAGCCGTGACGTTGCATCCAAGTGGGGCATTTTTTGCTGGTCAATCTCTAAATAACCAGATTGATGTCTATACTGCGCGAGACAAGTTTAAATTGAATCGGAAAAAGGTCTTTCGAGGTCATCAAAATGCTGGATATGCGTGTCAAATCGGCTTTTCACCAAATGGCCAGTATATCATGTCAGGTGACGGTGAAGGCAAATTGGTCTTTTGGGATTGGAAATCGACAAAACAGTTAAAAAAACTACGTGCACATGATCGAGGTCCAACTATGGGAGCCATTTGGCATCCACTTGAGTCGAGCAAGGTCGTCACATGCGGTTGGGACGGTCTTATCAAATATTGGGATTAGAACAAGTACCAGAAATTAGTGTATTCGCACGTAAGTTGGTCTATCTAATTGTACTACATTAGTACAAATTATTTCTTCTGTTGTTAAATTTTAAATTTCTAATCAGTACAACAGATATTTTCAGAAAGAATTTACAAACGATACGGTCCGTCGTATAATGATTATGAAGTTGATGACTCACTTCCGTGGCTAAGCGTCTAAGCTTCGTCTCTTTGTCAAAGGACAGTCTCAGTCTGTACGACTGGTGCTTGAATAATATCTAAAATATAGTCAATCTCCTCTTCTGACAATGAAAGGGGTTCAAAATCACTCAACATAGCTGCAAAGGTTGCAATCTCTGTAGAAGATACACCGTGAGACTGACTATGACCGGGAACAAAACATCCGTGGAAATCCATGGGGTCGACTCCCCTTCTCACTAAATTTGTTGGAAACAATGTCGTTTGTGAAACGGCGACTGAACAAGGTGACGACGCATCGTTCCGTTTGTTTTGGTCACGCCGACGCTTTAAGGAACGCGGCTCTTGAACAGCTGAGCGCAATCCACGTTTACGACGCGCGATCTTTTCTCGATACTTTTGAGCATGAGTCATAGTCTGACGAGTAGTGCGAGTACCCACGTGCGCTGCAATCTCTTTCCACGGTCCAGAAGGATATCGCTCAAGACCTTCGAGAAATCGATTGTGCTCTTCTGCTGTCCATGCTTGCCCATTGGTGTTTGTAGGAGACGTGATCTCACCATCGAATGAGGGTGAAGGAGAAGGCGGAGCTTCTGTGGGTAAACGAATGAGCTCGCTACCACTAAGTGCACTGCTACTGGGCTTAAACAATTGATTCTTCACATCAGCTGTGATCGTCATAGCTGGTGGTAGACTGATTGACAGTTGGGAATCGTGCAAAATTAAAAATGAGAGAGCGACTTTTCCTGAAAAGCAAAAAAACGCGTTGTTGGTCAGGGTGAGACGGAGTGTTCTAGTAAAGTTGACGTGCTATCTTGCCATACAATGTGGGAAGTCGAGCTGGTCAGTTGAAAAAACGGCGTTTCAAGCTTCTGAAGCACAGTAAATTAGAAAATCCATCGATAGGGCGCAATTTTTACATCTTACTTTGTCACGTTTATGTCTAGCTTTTATATGAAGCAAGAGTTGAGACTTCTAGCAAAGCATTCCCACTTTTCCTTAATCACTACAAGTGAATACGAGGATTCAAACTACTTTGAAGATCGTCAGAGATAATTGCGTCAGCAATGAAGCATTTGCTTTTTACCGGAAACATAAAAACGAAACTTTCCATAAATTGGGCTACTAAACTCACATGACTTTCTGTCGTATAAAACGCTGTTTAGAAATTTGAACACCTTACACAAGTAAGTCGCTAAGAGCAGAAAGATTATGAAGCAGCTATTAGAAAGTATTGATGATTGAAAGTCACAAATAAGTACATTCTTCAAGCAATTTCGAGGTAGAATCCAGCGTTGCGCCACCGAAGCGTCTCATCGCGATTAATATTTTCCTGAAAAGTCACTAGCAACGCTTGCGCCTGTAGCTCATGTGTCAAGTCTCCCGTGTGTTGCTATCAGTTGCAATATCTTTCGACACAGCCATACACAAACTGGACGGATCAGCAAGTCGCTACCATAGCATGATAAACGGTGGGATTTGGTCATCTCACTGATTTTGTAGCAAGTTGGTAGAGAGAGCAAGCACTTTCATTTGTATATGTCGACAAAACTTGGACATATATTTCACCACGTCTCATCTACTTTCTGGACTGGCAAAGTCCGTTGTGCAAACGGACATCAGTTGGCGTCTTAAAGGCCAATTAGAATTCTTTTTGACCAAATTAAAATTAAACATGTTTCTGTAGTCTCGAACTTGAGTTTTAAACTTGAGTTTTGAACTTCTTTGACACGAAGAGAACCTAAGACTGAACACTGTCAACACAAGCATTTTCCGATGGGCGACATACGAGATTATCTGCAAGGCTGCCGGCTAACTTGCTATCCAGCATTAATATATTTATATATGTCTTACTACAAGACATTTGAAACGTTTTGATGATTTGACCATTCTTAATTTGGCAGGGAGAATCGCCAATCTTACCAATTTGATTAATTAAGAATCGTCACTTGCTGCAGTGTCAGATAAATCAAGAATCATATATCAAAAGTTACACACGACCTTCATAATCGGATTGCATCTTTTTTGCAGCTTAAAAATGATGAACTTTGTATCGTAACTGTTTTAGAGTTAAGAACATTTTGTTAATCAAAACCAGATCTTTATATAAAATCAATGTTAATCAAGGAATGTTTGTAACGAAATTACTGTCATACTTTATGTCGACCCAATCATTAGAGTACAATGGATACTCAAAACCAGACCTGACTTAGAACAAGCTTTATGTGTTGCGGTCACTGGAATCCGCACTTGACAACGACCCATTAGGTTTTCGGACTTCAAACTTGTCACCGCCACCAGCGCGCAAGCTAAGTATGCGGTGACATCAGGACACTAAAATTACCACAGGATAAAGCAAATGATGTATAATGCTGCGACGTCGACGCTGCTGGTGTTTGGCCACTAGGGGCTGCCGGTCCGCATGACCGACGGCATGGGTTTTAGTGTTACCACGCCGGACTATTTGGCTAAGGAGCGAAGTGTACGTCCTACAAGGTAGTGGCTGGATTAGACCGTTCAACGTCAAGCATGAAAAGAAGTGCTGCCGCACCCGCAGCTTCCACCGTGGGTGCCGCCACCAATAATTTCGGAAACGCAAGAGTTGGTCGAGGAAATTGATGGATAGATCGCCAGCATGAAGCAGAGCTGCAATTTTAGATCTACAACAGCAGCACGAAACTATGCATTAAGAGACTTGGCAGTAACAGATTCGGAATCAGGATAATGAATTAACTTCGTGCGTTAGATGGAGAAGGTGGTGGCGGTGGATTTGCTGGTGACGTCCGTAGTGTCTGATGGATAGCAAGCTCACGTTGAAATTGCTCGACGCTACGAGGGATACCGCAGAGTTGGTGCTGGATGTTTTTAGTGGAGACTGTCCGAATTTGGTGGGTGTCAACATGACCGAGCATGTCCGTGGCTATCTCGGCCTGATTGGTAAGGCTGGATGCTACTTTCGTAAATATTTTGACGGTTGGTAAATGACGAGTCCTTCCTCTCTTTCGGTATGAGCGAACCGAGACGCGTTACTAACAGTCTGTTAAACTGCTCTTTAGTGGGGAAGGAGCAACTGTACTGACCACTTGCTCCATTAAGTGGTACGTTTGAAAGCCACCATGTCCAGACCTGAGTTAGTGTTTTCAAAGCGTTTGATTGAACTCGCTCCTCCCGACATGAAAACTGTGCTTTTGGCTAAGTACGACGCAATACGATTCAACTATTTCATACATGCCGAGATTTTCTTTAAGTCAACGAGCTCACGAATACCCGCAAAAGTTTTAATTGCGGCAAGGTTAGGCACTTGTCACGCGACCATAAGAGTTTTGCTTAGGCGGTAAAAGCGCCAAGTGAGCGCTCATGACTACAATCTTGAGATGGAAGATTAAATCATTGACAGTGGTGCATTTTGGCATCTCGTTTGAAAGGTTGAGATGCTTAAGTTGTACTTGTACAGAGAAAGAATGTAGCAAAATGCTTGACAGAGCTTTATTCGAATTGATTGAGCAGCATGGGTCACGTTTGATGATGGTCGAAGATAATGAGATTGAAATCGAGCTTATGTATGTGTACTACGCGTCTGAATTTATTCTGTAAAGGTAGCTTATGATTTGTGGCTGCGGACTAGAACAAAAGCTGCCTCTGTGCGCTTAAGATGTGCTGAAAACTTTTACTCACCGCTGAATAAGTGAGACAAAGATTTGATGCACGCGGTATTTGATCTGCCCAGTACCGATTTCATGCAGCGTGGCTTCCTGTGGCACTTCCACACCAGATTCAGACATTTAAGCTTTGACATAAATAAGCGTCTCGCTGATGATCCAAGTTTCGGCTTGGTATGATGAGAGTAAACTCTCTTTGACATGTACTGACGGCATGCGTCGGCTCATATCGGGAAGGAAGCAAAAAAATGCGCCAATTGACCGAGTGGGCACTAATTGTTGCAACGACATCAAGGACTGATCAAGCTGTTCGACTAATAAAAGGGTTTTTTGGTGAACTTGCTGACCACAAGTCAGTTTATTGTCGAGTCTTATCGCTAAGACGAACGACCAGACAACCTATTGAAGCACTTGCTGATCATAAATCCAGAAAATTTGACATCGTCATCTTCGATTCTGTCTGCCAAGTCTATTGCAGCCCAAAATGAACGCGCAACGAAGGTGGAGCGTCGGAGATTCTCGCGAGTAGTTGTATCAGCTTGTCGCATTGGTAAAGGATCTCCAGGGTCTTGCGCTTTTGACTCATAAAAGTCGAAAACAAGGGCGTGAAGTCAGCACTGACTAATTTTCGAAGGAAGTTACACTTTGGAATATCGGGCAACGCGGTACGTCGCTCAAAAAGGATGAAGAAGTCGGCTTAATGCTACGAGCTTGACGGAGAAGGCGTTAATGTAGCTTCTGCTGGCTTTGATAGTGCTTGCTAAATTATCGAGTCCCACGAACTATGGTGAAGCAACCCGCAGGCTAGTCGAAAAGTCTTGAAAAAGTCTTGGAGGAGCTGGATCCACTTTGAAAGTAAAGAGGCTGAGTCTCCATATCAATTCCGTATACATGGTCAAACGGATAAGTGCGGTGATATTATGCGATATAACGCTCATTTGGGTGATACATATATGCTTATTGTTGCGGCCGTGCGAGAGATGACATTTGGAAAAATGATGCTGGCAATAGCACATCTGTGAGGAGTGCTTCAATTTTCTCATTGCGTACGCCAAATTCGCACGAGAGCTTAAGCATCTCTGATAGAGTGGAGGTCAGCGAGATAGGTTTGAAAAATTCGGCGTCTCCATCCCATAGGAGCTCGAGTTGCGTCCTTTTCGGAGGTTGTGATGTGTTAAGAAAGCTGAAGGCTCGTGGCACCAGAATCTTAAAGATTCTGGTGCCACTCAGTTTAGAAATCAAGGAACCGTTGCCAATCGTGGACCTATTTTGGATGTAGCTCATGTGGACCCACGCTGGTTCGTGCTAATGTGGACGATTTGTTGAAACGTGTTCAACCAAGACAGGAAAGCATTGGTCCAGAAAAAAATTCAGAATGCGAACGGAGAGTTAGGAAAATCGCGAATACAAGCTGATTCAAGCGACGATGAACACGTAGATGCTGGTCAGGCTTGGCCTGGCGAATGAAAAATGTGCGAGATGGTAGTGACGATGACTTGGAATAGTTTTGCCCGTCGCAAGGCCCAGCATCACCGGGTTTCAACTTGTCGGTAGTCCACCTGTTGTACGAGACCGGACGTGGACACCAAGCGATAAGATACACGCATACCGACGTGTATGCTAAGAAGATCGCCAGATATCTCGGTGGTATAGAAGACGAACGTAGTGTGCCTTGTGTACGTGTCGTTGTGAATAATGAGGGTGGACCAGCTAACAAAGGCACTACTGACGCCGCGGCTATTGGTTCGGCTTTCGTTAGCGTTTAGAGTAGGTTTGGTTCTTGAAATGAGCCAAAATTACCCAGACCACAATGAGCGTTAGATCGTACTAGATGCGGTGAACTTACTTGACTTGCAACGGCGACAACTACGTAAAGAAGCTGAAAAGAAAATTACACTTTGAAGCATCTCTAAGATCACATTGAGACAGCTGAGAGAAGTTTGAGTGAGAGTTTTACGAAAAGGATATATAGTGTCCCGTATCTACTTACAATAGATCTATCTCAAATAACAGTCAAAGCCAAAAAAATGATCTTCGTTGGTTGTAGTAAATCTAAATACAAAGTATCTGAGCGACCGGGAAAGTATTTCAGTGCGCTAACAAGCGGAGACTCTGCGAGTCAAAGGTTGCTCTGCGTTTGATGTGCGACAATTCGTAGCACTTATTGCCAATCTAGCGTCCAAGTCTGAATAATACAGTGAGGATGGGTTATTGCAGCGGGGCTGCCGTAGCTCTTTCGCTTAGAGAAAGCTGAACTAAGGTCGGTGACCTTCGTTCTATACTTTGAACCAGTACGAGTGTAAGCGGATTTTCTCCAAGAGTAACCACAACCTTAACCCAAGGCTCCCATTCGAAATGTAAGCTGTATTTCTCGGTTATATTTGCGGCAAAGCCGCCTATATCTCAATTCATAATTTTTCCTTACTCAATAGTTAAACCTAATTAAAATGCATAGCTACTGACAGTCCAGCTACGTAGTGACTTCTTGTTAAGGTGTTGCCACACCATTCTGTGATTATCCCAGCCGACACCTATGTATGGTCACACCATCTTGTGTGACCCACCCCTTCATACCAGGCTACGTGTCACCCAGTTACTGCTATAGGATATTCCCGCAAGATACACTTACCAATCTTTGGTATCGAAGATAGCTTTCGAGATTTGATACGATTGGCAAACCAAGATGTAAAAGCTGTACGCCCGGAGGCGTTCACCACATACGAAATGCGTTAGGCAGACGCCTCCAGGAATGTTTCAATCAACGTACTATTGGCTTTCACCGGTTCCCACAGAGCTCTCCAGAGCGGAAGTTCAGCTAGTCATGAGTTTGGTTCCGTTCTTACCATGTTGCAGCGCGTCAAGCTAGCGCTCTTTCGGTTAGGGGGCTGCGTACAAGAATCCGCGCTAATTCACGGTAACTCAAAAAAAGAAATATTTCCGACATGAGAAGAATACATGAGACAAGAAATTTTAAAACTCTATACCCAGGAGCTAAATATTCTCATATGAGGATGTCGGCTATTTCCGAAACGTTAAAGGCATTTCGCACTCATGATAGATCATGTGTTGATGTGGCCCGCACGGATACATTTTGCGTGCATCCAGCCTTCTTCACGAAAGCAAAGATTAAATGCGAAACATAGCTTTTAGCCCACAGGGCTTGGTCATGGTGCTGATATGGATACTCCGTGAGCGTGCTCTAGACGATGGGCCTCACTTAAGCTGATTATGAGAGTGAAAGAGATCTCGTCTGCTGAGAGTCCGCAAGCTTGTTGGAATGACGCCTTATATTTCACTTTCGATTGAGAAGGATAAAGGCTCGTAGAGCCAGTGATGGGCTCCACTCAAAGGTAATATCAAGTCCAAGTAGACCACACCTGCATTTTCTTGTATTGAGTTTGGGTGTCATTGTCGAAATAGAGATCAATATGATGTAGTAAAAGAAAATGACGCTCTCTTAAAGATGCGTGGTTTATAGCTCCAAATTTTGTTGTTAAGATTTACGATCTGGGCTGGTTGAAGCCGTAGAAGTACTAAGCAATTTGAGTGCGTTATGGCGACATACTCGCTTAGGTCTAAGAAATATGCGTGATATTAAGTATGACAAGTATGTATACCATAACTGTGGGTCCTGCGATAGAAAATTGTTGAAGATTCATCTAAGCTAATATACAAGTATCAAAAATTTGATGGCGAGGAGCGCTGATCGTGGGTACTGCAGCGGGGCTGCTGTAGCACTTTGCTTAAAGAAAGCTAAGCTAAGGTCGCCGACCTTATGTTCTAGACTAAAACCAGGACGAGAGTAGCGGAACGCAATCCGCTACCTCCAACAGTACCCGAAACTTTAACCCAAGACAAATGTGCTCTTCCGTTCAAAATTGAATCTGTACTTTTTATATTTGAGGCAGAGCCGCCACCCTAGGTTTTCCTAATTAAATAGTAAAACCTAATTAATATGCATGACTACTGGTAGTTCCGCCACGTAGTGGCTTCTTATTACGGTGAAGCCACACCATTTAATATTACACCGAATTGTGTAATTCACAACTCTGTACGGTCACACCATCTTGTGTGACCCACCCTTCTATAACAGGGTACATGTAGCCCCGTTAAACTATCCCCCATCAAAATCTTAAATACCCACAATGCACATTTAATTATTGCCTCGTACGAGGTTTGCGTGTCTGAGACACCGTGCGTATCTAGGACCATCTAAACACATTCTCTGCTCAATGAACCATGTGTCTTTGACACAATAAAACCCCCAGCCTATTTCGAGGGCGCCCGTGGGCAGAGCCCTTCTTTGCTGTCTGCACGTGGTGCATCTCCGGACAGTGCGTCTGCGGTTTCACGGAACGCATCTCAAGCCCTCAGTAACTGGACGTCACACACCGTGCCCTCCACGGTCGACGGATCTCCTCGTTGATGATTCGGAGGAAGTCGACTACGAATCGGATACTCTTTTCCAGTATGGAAAGAAGAGGCGGGCAAAGTGCGCCAATGGCGCAACGAGAGCCTTGCTCGAACCTTACGGGCACCGAGTCCATTTCCGACCTCTCGACTTCCGGGTGATGTATAATTATTAACACCCGCCTCGACGAAGCACAGCCGGGAGCTCTGTGGCTTCTCACACAGGTGAGTCTGCGACCACAGCAGCTCAGGGTCATAGCTTGGGCTCAGCTCATTGCCCTTCGGCTGATTCGGTTACCGCCAAGAAGCGCGAGGCGTACAACGTGGAGCATCATGATCCTTCTGATCATAAGCGTTCACTACGTCTGGGCAGTCTTGCAGAAGTGGCACTTCAAACTCCCACGAGTTCTCGGAGTTCGTGTATCCCCGCCAACTCACAAGATATTGGGTTTGACCTCGTCGACATCGTCGACCCACAATGCGTTACACGTGATAGTGGACACCACCGTTATCATCGAGAATGGTCGGTGGCGGGTGATGACGACTTGATCGATCACCGTGCGATGACACGCGATTCTTCTCGAGCTCTGAAGGACAAAGTCTGTCGACATTGGCACTCCGCCGAGCATCTTGTCGAGGTCACATACACTTGAGGTCCTGTAATAGGCGGCTCTCCTTTTACTACTTTCTTTTCACTGCGTTGCTACTAAATCAGTACGTCCTTAGCCACAAGTTTGTGGTAGTTGGTGCTAAACACTTCCTTTCCATCAATCGCTGTAATTTCTCAAATGCGTTAAATGAAGATCAGCAGAGTTTGCTTTCCTTTCTCGTCGCGACGATCTTATTGCTCGCAATGCTATAATTGATGCTGTCTTAAATATTGAATTGACTGACACAGTTAGTACGTTCCGTTGATATACTTCGAAATCCGGGTTGATGTCAGTACCGATAACAAGAGCCAATGCACCACTGGACGCTTGATCACATGATAATGCTTGTTACCACGCGTTAACCTCTGCTTCCGTTGCGGATGTAATACGCATGATCTCGCTACGTATCGCAATCACAAGCATATACCGCGTTGTCTCATCTAAAAGCGGCCTTAAATTTCCAAGAATTACATCGGTCACTCAATTTACACGCGGATGACCTTTCACGACGCCAATTTGTAGATGTTCACTGCTCCGCTCAGTGGTATTCACACTATTGTGTCAACTTCGATGTATGACCCTGTGATGATGATTGATCACTCTAAATATGTATGTAGAACCGGCCATACTGATTGTGACTTATAGTCGCACGTCTTCACTGACCCCGGTACATGAGACAGCGACACGCAGTTGCGGTTACTCCTATTCACAATACTCAACAAAATTGGCACCAGCTTTCTGCTGTAATCGAAAGGTTCACCGAAGATACACCGTAATTAATACCCACAACATAGCACAATTTCATCCGTTTCCTGGCAGATATGCACTTTGGGGGTCGCGATATGTACCATCGCTAAGGTGTACCTCTTCTAGAGAAGGCTGTACACTTTGGGGATCGTACACTCAGCAATATCATCGCTCAGTAGTTTAGACAAATCATGCTCTATACCGATGTAATCGCAGTTTCCTGTCCGCAACAAAAATATACCTGCTAACAGAGGCGGGATCATGTCTCACCACAGCTTCACCTAGAGATAATACTATCGCAAGTTGATTTTTTTAACTCCCGGTTGATCCACAGCTCGTGACGTTACAGCCACGCCATTTGCAGAATTTGAGCGTATTTAAATTTCAGGTCTAGACCGAGACAACGGTTTTCGTGAAAAGTGCATCAATCTACACAGGAAAGCTAATAAATTTTGGCACTTCCCCGTCGTGAGAGACACAGATATCGTATCTGCATCTGACATCAGTAATCTTGCATTCCGTCTATCTGTTTTCGAGTTGGGTGTCGTACAATACATCAACATTCGGGCTATGAACATATAAGATTCACCCAAGTTAGTAGGCGAAACCGATTGATATCGACCTCCACGAGGTCAGTTCATGCCCAGTAAATCACCGAGTTCTTGTGGATTCGAGTTTTTCTCGCAAAAAGACCCTGCGCGAGCGATTGTCTCTCCAATTTTATAAAAGAGAAGGGGGAGGCGCGGCACATATCATGCGTTAGGCGGTATTTTACTGCGCCGATATCGGCAACATTCTCGCTATTTTACTTCTCAGAATCGGTCCTGGCAGTATGGAAGCTATACTTCACATCAAATTCATCAACCGGATTCCCAAAACGACACAAAATCTCAGTGCGGACCACGAAAATCGTCTCCGTAAATGCCTATGAAAATTTGAACTGGTTTGATCGTTATGCTCTGTATCCATGAAATAGCTATCGTGACGCCGGGTACGCAGATATCCCGAGTGCGACGGCGTTTTTAGTGTGTTTTTGTGTATGTACGCCTTAACCTTTTGTGAAATTGTGCATAGCTCAGAGGTGGTATAAATGAGGGCGATGGGATATTGTTGAGTGGAAATTCACAAGATGTACATTTTCCAAAAGCACTGTAAAAGATGTACGTTAGTTTGAATTTTACTCAACCCTAGATCTATGTCACTTTTTGAACAGAGGAATTATACAGCATTCATGAGAAGTTCTCGTTTTTTCTGCTAGGTGAAGCGTACGAACCCACTATGTGTGTTGCTTACGTGGAATCTTTGAGCTAAGCTTTCTCTGTCATTGCGCATGGCAATCCCGTTAACGACCGAGTCTAAAGATTAGATCGACTGTAGGCGTTGCCTAACTGTCTGTCTTCAAAAGAACTAGCCACGCTATTAAATAGGCGGTCGTCAATAGCATGTTTGACTACTTAGGAGCTGATAAGGCGATCGAGCGCTTACATGCACTCGCCTGCCACGAAAATGCGCTGGTGATACACCTTCAAAAATAAGTACCAGCGGAGGCACAACCAGCTCTCATTATGAGGCTATTTATCGTTAAAGTCTGGTTTTTCGAGGAATGGGACAGCAAAATTTTCTCCCCGCCGACAGGGTGACATGTTATCAAGAGTTTGGCCGTGCCCCAAACAGTTTGCCGATACTTTTTGTACGAAGATGGTCCGCCTTGCACAGATTTCTTTCGCGTTCACCCAACCTCTTTCGGGGAAGAGGTGGGTGCCAAATAAAATGCGAAATATAGCTATTATACCGCACCGGTCGATTTTTGGGGGGAAGTGGCCCCATAGAGCCAGGAAATGATAGGCTTCAGCCGGACTAAGGGGAAAGAGACCGAAGGCTTAACGTCTACCTACAGCCAGTTACTCATCTATAGAAGAATCATATTCGCTCGCTCATTTATTTTGTTGGCCATGAGGTGAAAAGTGTGTGGCCCCAACGCGTTATCGTTCAACGAGTCCTACTCGGTAAAATACTGAGGTTCAAAGATAGAGTAAAAGCGGGACCCATCTCACGTCGTGGAGTTTAACTAAACGGGGCTAGTATTTGCAGAATGGGATTATCTCAAAGATCCGTGAAGCTCACAGCTCAAAATATTGGCGACCAACATCAACATTCCGGGCTTTATGAGACCGTGGAGAGGCCTCGAGATTTAAAAGCGTCGTGCAACTACATTTGACGCGCTAGGCGCTTTGGTGAGTAAGGAACCCGCTTCTAATGTAATTCGCAACGTTTTCGGTACGAGAATAAAGCTGTGATTACATTATAATTGCCCAGATTTTCTATCAATCATTTACTGAGTGCTTGGAAAAAAACTAGAAGGGATTCTTGAACGTCCATGAGCTCGTAAGATGACTCCTAATGCAAGTATGCCTGCAGCTAGGTATAAATGGTGAAGTAATAATCCAATCGTAGTGACGCTCTCTTTATGCGATGTCTATAACCCATGAGTTCCATATCTTGGTGGGGGGTGCAATGGGAACGCACTTTACTGATGGGTACGTAAACTTACGGTTTGTGCAATAGCGCACAATGTATTACTAAGTGGACGCTGGGATATCGCTAAGAATGAGGTCCGGGGGACCCGCTGACTCAATCAAAAAGAGCGCAAACAGTACATAGAGCTTGAGCGGCTCTCGGTCTCGTTCCTGGGTGGAGTGAACAAACCCAGCATTTGACCTGAACTTTGGTGTCGAAGCTATCTCCGTGTAAGCAGATGATACATGATTACACCTATCAAATTACCAATTAGGCTAAGTTTTGCAATTGATCCGAGACTATTGTCGTGGTCACCCGTTATTGTGCAGCGATTGAGGCGAAATTTGCCACAAGCTACGAATCATTGATTGCAGCAGAGGATCCACGAAGTCAGAAGTCATCACTTTGTCCTTGTGGATATGTTCGCAGTAAAAAACGGATTCCGTCAATAAAGGCGAAGGCACCCTGGCAAAGATGATGGTGCATCATTGCACATTTTTTGACAATCGTCTCGTTCTCGAAATGATCAAAACCTTGACACTCGCAAAAATTAAAAACACCCAGCTATGCCTACCAACCGATGGATAGTCTGCTAAGCAGCATTAATCGTCTGCTGGCCCAAAAAAATTAAGCAGTCATATCAAGTCTAGCTCTAACGATTCGTACTTGTTGCTTAGCTGAGCTGCGTTGGATGACCCCGTGACACCAGCTTTGTCTTGAAGACAGATGACTGTTGAACGAATATTGTCGTACCACAAATTGTGATATTTCATACAAAAAGAGAAATTTCTTTGTAATACATAGATTTTAATTACTAATACCAAAATCCATACTAATATTATAGCAACTGATGACACCATAGGTAGAGAAGCTTCATTACAATTACTTACCTGTGGTAGTGCCGGACCATTGAAATGTCAATTCTTAGTTTCACAATCGACAATAGATGCTTCGATGTTGATAACACATGCCTTGCATCATCAGAAAGCACTTGGCTCGAAGCAATGCACAGGATACACCAGATATTCCGCTATATGTTCTTTATCATGACAATGTAGTCGATCGTAGAAAGCCAAGCGACATATTGCTTTTAAATTAAATTTGCAACATCAGGGCGTAGACCTCATGATACAAACTCGAGCTACGCGAGCGATTACTAAGGCAATTATGGCCGCGGGTACAGCGGGTACGATTGCATCGGTTTATTGGCTAGTTAGTCGAATTGTGGACGATAACGACTACAAGCGTCTAAACGACTCTCCTAAACTAACCAACGCGGAAATTACAGTCAATAGCGATGGTTATAACGAGGATTACAGTGAAGAAGAAGATTCGGAATGTTATCACTGCAATAGATTTCGAGATCTACCTGTTATCTTTGAATCCGATAACGAGTATACAGAAGACATCACGGGTTACACGGGAGATTGTTACACACCCAGCAACGACATTTGTATGCTATCGGTCAGCATAAAGACCCTCGATGATTCACATTTAGATGTTTCTTCACGCGAGTGCCGACTCTGTGAAGCCGCAGAGTCCAAGTTCGCTATTAATTATGAAGATATAAATGCCCAGAGACTGTATTTCCCAGAGACCGAATGCACCAACAATGAAAGCGTAGTGTCAGCTGGAAGCGACATGGAAGCAGAAAGCTCAATTCAACGTAATGCGGCGAATTGTAAGACAGAACAATGCCTTTATGTCAGACTGTAGTATAAAATCATATCATTACGTACAGTGTACGTACATAACTCAGTCGACTCGAAACGTAACCTTCAAGTAAAATCTAGCTTTTGGTGCATTGTTTTGATTCGATTAAAATTGATTTCTTACTGATTTGCTGACTACTCTCATGACCATCATACTTTGGCAAACTTCCTTCCGACAATAGCAAAGACCTGCTCTCTGAATACTCGTGCACGATGCGATTTTCAAGCAGCAATGCGACCAGCCAACTTTACATGTTCGTATCTAGCAATTGAGCGTCTGAAAATACCCTTTTGTAAAATTACACTATTTTGCGGCTATTAATTCAGTGTTGCTTCTATTCTAGCCATCTCAGAAAATCACATCTAAATAGGGGTACAATCACAAAAGCATTTCTTCCTCATATTACGATGTTTACACCTCGTGTCATCGCTCAAAAATTTGTCACGCATGAGCAAAATGAAGGTGTTGGTGCTCGCGTACACCGCTCAATCGGTACCACTCGCTTACGTAATCTCGACCCATTTCTAATGCTGGATGAGTTTTACGTGGGTCTACCGGGTGGATTTCCAGATCACCCACACCGTGGCTTTGAAACGGTGACATATGTATTGCCTACGTCTCAAGGCCACATGTGTCACGAGGATTTTCTAGGTAACAAAGGTGAATTACGACCTGGTGATCTGCAATGGATGACGCCTGGAAGGGGCATTATGCACGCTGAGATGCCCAAGAGTGAAGTTCCTGCTCATGGTCTTCAGCTTTGGATCAATTTACCGAGTAAGGAACGCATGGTCGAGCCAAAGTACCAAGAGATTAGTCGTGAGATGGTACCACATGCTTTTAACGAAGATAAAAGCATTGAAGCTATTGTTTTTGCCGGGGAAGCCTTTGGCCAACGTGGTCCTATTGACACGGTTGCTCCTGTTTCGTACGTCCACTTTATGCTTCAAAAAGGTGCGACATTGGAATATCGAATTCCAGAAAGTCATCATGTGTTTGTATACACTGTTTCTGGAACTGGCAAGTGTGCTAATCACTCGATTCAACCTCATGAAGCAATTGTGCTCGAGATGAAAGGGGATGGTGTGATGTTGCAGGCGGAGGACCGACTGGAAGTTATTGTCATGACGGGCCAGCCTCTGGAAGAACCAGTCGTACAGTATGGACCATTTGTCATGAGTTCGAAAGATGAGATTCAACAGACGTGGGAAGATTTTCAATCAGCAAAAAATGGATTTGAAAATGCACACACTTGGGCTTCCGAAATTGGAAATCGTCGCATTTGAACCGCGAAGAAAAGTGCAGGATACGGTGGAAAGCACATTGCTACGCTTTTGGTGCTAGTTGTCTCGCTCTTCTACTTTTGTGTATTACGAAAAAGACGCTAGTTGGTTCGAATATTTTTTAAAAGATAAACAATTTTCATGCTTAATCTTAACTACATTATATATCAGAATTGAAAAAAATGCAAATAAATTATGGAAAAGTGAGCTCACGAAAGTTTTCATAAATAAAAATTTGACTGTATGCTTGTTCTGAGTTTCTGTTTCTTGCTATTATATTGAGCAATTCTTGCCATCAGATTGCTGCCTTAAATGCTCTGAGAGAATCGGAGTGACCGATGCAGGAGCTCGTACATGTTCCAAAGCTATACTTTGTAGTGAGAGACTTGGTAATATCAATCCTAATCGAGATGCTAACGTTGTTTTGACTCGAGGTTGCTCGCATTCTATAGATTCCACATGTTCTTCAGATCGTACTTCCTGTTTTATCTTTTTCTCCTCTAACTTCATTTGAATCTGCATTCTACTTGCTTCACTTGCCCGTCTAGCCGTTCTTATCCGACTACCTATTCGACGACGTGTTCGAAACATTTTGTAACTTGACTGAATCATAATAGCTTTGCGGTGACGGAAGGCGTATCCACGCATAGCAAGCTCATCAACTTTTTCTTGAACTGTCAAGCTTTCAAGTGGTAGCACTCGCATTGTTAATACAAGTAAGAGATCCGTAAAGCGAAACATATTGGGAGGACAGATCAAGTCAAAGTTGATGTTCGTATTCACATTACCATTAAGACCATCAAAACTTCCAAGTCCAAGACGAACTCGATACGTGAGTTCAGCAATTCGTGCTTCAATATCATGATACATTTCGCGTCTTCTTGAATGAACAGCATTAGATACTGCAGTCCAATTTTCCGGTGTCATCTCGTCAGTCGCCATACTTTCAAGCATAGCTTGAAACGTTCCAAGTCCCAATGGTGGTTCTAGTCTATTCAAAAGTGCAAATAAATGTTTTTTATGTAGCAATCCCAATGCATCCGTGTCAAATTCACTCCAAATTTTTTGAAAATGCTGCAAATGTTCCACTTGAAAACCTAATATTTCCTCTTTCTCATCCGCTCTAGCAGACATTAACACATATGTGTCCACCATCGTTGAAGCGTACAAATTTTGTAAAATAAGTACCACTAAGATATAAAAGATATTATAAAAGAGTGCACTGATCGTTGGTGAGCCACAATCGCTCGAAGACCGCGATAAAACACATTGTGGAGGTGCTACACTTGAGGCTAAATATGTTGCATACCAATCTTCTCCAGCTGCAAATTTCACAAATGTTGAATACGCATTTGGAAATGTTGTTAAATTTAAATTGGAATTCAAGCCATTTGCCCATCGTGTAAGTGAAAATACTTGTACCCCCACAATTGCAAAAACAAATAAAACGTAACCAAGTAACAAGGTTACTTTCAACGTCAATTGTACACTAGCTAATAAAGTTCGAAATAATGTTCGAAGAGCACGAGATCGCTCTAAGACAAGCGAGAGATGTTTAAAGTCAAATGCTCGTGTCATGCCCAAGATTAAAAAGACAGGAGAGTTTGAAATTAATGGTCCAACGAGCATAATAAATGCAGTACAACTATTAAACGTTCTCCATGTAAATCCTTTCATTAAGAAATCTTTCCATCCAACAGCAGCGACACGAAGTACAGCATCAAATGCATATATGAGAGAAAATAAGTAATGAAGCCACCATACGCCTGACTCGACAGTATCAGTGTCTGTTGCATGATGAATTGGAGAGCGATACCATGCAAGCAATGAAGTATGAAGAAGGACTACAAAACTAATAAATCCTCGAAACGAACGTTTCTGCATGTGAACTTGAGCCAATTGCATCAATCTACTTGTAGGCAATGGATACTTTGGACGCATAGCAACAATCGCTTGTTTCTTTCGTAACCAGATCAATTGAACATTTGTTAATAGTAAAGTACCATTATAACATCGAAAATTGTTCATAAGGATCCCAGCAAAGACTTTTAAAAGATAAAAACGTGTGAAAAAGAGAAAAGCGACGAAAAAGCCTGCAAAATACGTTGATGCAATCGCAGATACTTGATGTTCTTTGTTCCCATTCGTATCATCGACAAAATCCATAGCAATATTTACAACAGGTAACCATCCTTTCATGGAGACAAGAAAAAGGATAGAAGACATTGCTCCTGTAATATGATCAAAGTGTAATCCTGAAAGATTCCCCCAAACTCGTGGGGTTAATACTCCAGTTGCACTATTCCAAAAGACTCCAATACACTCGTCCATACTATCAATTGATGGATCACTACAATATGCAAAGCGTCCACCAAAAATCTGCATCCCTAACGTTGCAAACGAATAGAACAAGAAAATAGAAAGCACAACACAATAAAAAATGGGTCTTGCAGACTCTTTTAGCGCTTCCGTGATGACTCGAAAAGTTCTGACGCGATAAAAGACACGAATTGGTCCAAAAGCTCGTCCAAGGCGAAATAACGAGATCATTGTCGAATGTGGCAATAAAAGTAACAACGAACACGCTAAAAGAACAATCATATTGATTTGATTCCATGTGTTAGATAAATAACTCTTTGGAGTCAAGATGAATCCACGAGCGATGACTTTTAAAAGAAACTCAAAGAAGAGAATACATGCGTAAACGACATCACTTAATGTTGTAAGTTCTTGAATCAAATTTGAATACAGCGGTGATTGTACGGTTAGTAGAATTGTGCGGATGACAATCGCAACAAAAATGTACTTTTCCGTCTCTTTTTCCAAACGTCGAGCTTTTAAACGAATCCACGATTGCCGTGGAAAGAGAAATAATGAAACGTCTGCCATAAGCCAATGACCATCCAAGAACTGCCGTGCGTAATCTGTAAACCTTCCAGACGAAGTCCATCCTGTCCATTCATCAGCAGAATTTTCATTTGAAGTTTCAGTAGCGACGATTGAATTTGAAGTGTCTTCAATCGGAGTGACAGTTGCCAGATTTTTATACTTTCCATTCACATCAAGTGGAATATATCGACGCTCGTGTTGAGTTTTCGTAGGACCATAATATCCTTTTAATTTTAAAAAGTCAGACGTTGGTAAAACATTCAAAAGTCTCGATTTTAAAGCTTCAGACGCTGATAAAGCTCGCTGTGCTCGTCGTTTGGCACTTCCTGGTAGACTGATGTTCATAATATCTTCTTGATATAAATTACCAAATTCTTCCACAAAAGTATACATGTCAAAGAGATGAATACGCTGGATAGCAAACATTCGATCTTGAAAGATTCCACTTAGCGTTTTTCTCCTTTCATCGCCTTTCATTGCAAAGTTTCGAAGTAGAACCACGAGCATAAAATTTAACGCAAGGAATCGACATAATACAACGTATGTTAGATAATAAAGCAAAGCCACTCCAAACGAACTTGCTTGTAACGATGCGTGAAAAATTGGCCAGATACTTCCACCATTTGTAAATTTAAACAATGTAAGCATACTATCGCTAAATGTATTGAAATGCGATTGCATAGTAAGTGGAAAGTTACCACCAAAAAGATTCATGCCAACGACTGCAAAGACGCTGTTCAATAGAATCAAAAAGGCAATGGAACTTAAAAATGCTGGTACACTTGCTAAAATAGCATCCAGAACTAAAAGCAATTTGTTGTTCTGTCGTACAACTCGAAATGGTCGGACAAGGCGAAATAACCGCAAGACAAAGATACCACGTGCATAGCTATCAGTATAGAGTAATACAGAACAAGAGAGTAGAAAAACCTCAACACAAGCAGTGACGAGCAAGACAAAATCCAAGCGATTCCATGGATTCTGTAAATATCCCACGAGACCATTTGATGCAGCAGCAAGAATAACAAATTCCACTCCATACACGAGCATTAAAACACTTTCAATCGTGTAAAGACGAGAAGCGTAACTTTCACTCATACCATGGTACTCTAATGCAAAAAGTATCGAGTTACAAAAGACAACAAGATTCATCACATGTTCAAGCACTGTAGATTCTGCAATAGCCGAGATTCTATCCATTGTCGGACTTCCAGTTTCTAAAAGAAAGAAAATTCGATCTTGACGTAATCGACACCAGCTTAGAAAAGCTCCATCGGATCGAGTAAATAAAAAAGATTGTAAAAACCACTCAATAATTCGTGTGCGATAGACTCGAGAGTGTGTCTCCATAAGTTGAATGACGTCTGGAAATGTTTCCGTCCCTTTTGGAAATTGAATCCGTGCTTTTGCAAGATACTCCTCCATCGCACGCTCTTGTTGTATTGCTTTTGCTGTCCGACCAATAGAGACGGAGATATAACTCTCTCGTACGATTCCAACGAACAAAGATAAAATCATGTAGCTTACAAACACGACTAAGGCAATGAAATATATCAGAGCGAAATACGACGAAGCTTGTTGCGTTCCATCAAGTGATGGACCAAATCCTGATCGTAATGTGATAAGAAAGACAGTGAGAAATGATGCTTGAAACGAATGGAATCCAGTATATCCTCGATCTGGAGGAGACATGGGGACACACTCCATATTGGATTTACATCCTGACTTAATATCATCGACATTACAGAAATGTACTGGAGTTTCAGGAACATACGCTTTGATGTCATCAAGAGACAAGGATACAATCGAAAGATCAGAATCTGCTTGAATGGCACATCGATGGGAGAGAGAATCGTTAAACAAATACATACCCAAGATTGCAAAGAGAAACAAGTAGTAACAATAGCAAAGTACAGCGTTTAGAGCCATAGGTAACGAGACAAGAAAGGTTTCCATCGTCTCTTGAAAACTTTTCCATCGTTTGAAGATTCGTACACCTCGAAAAACTCGAAAAGACAATAAATTAAAGCCAGCAACCGAAGAAAAGGGAAGAACTGCTAACCAACTAATCAAAACAGCACAGAGATCAAAGGCATCCCATTTGTTTCCTAGTAATGGTAAAAGACCTTCGAATCCAATCACTTTACACACTTGTTCCACCGTTAGAAAAACTAAGACGAAATATTCTAACAACGTCATACCAAATCGTGCAACTTCCTCGACATCTCCACTATCAAAATTTGTGATGTAGCGAAAGGATCGCCATCCAACAGATGTCATGCTTCCAACTACAGCAAGAAATATTGCAAGCTGAAATGAAGGATGACTAACAATTTGAAAACATTTTGTCGAGAGACCAGTGGGTAATTCAATGTCCGAGAAAATCTCTAGATTCTCCACTTCCAGATTTGCTTGCTGTCGAAAAAATGCACAGGCAACATCGCGCGTAGATGAATTGGAGAATTCTAAATCTATTGTATTACTTGTCAAACATAGCGAGAGACAACAATTATCGTTTGAAGGAAGTTCGTCCGTTGAAACATATTTCAAAGTCCGTACAAAGTTGGTCGTCTGACGTCCTGTCCGTACACTTTTGATCTCGGTAAGATTACCACTAATACTGGGCAATACCATTTTGTGCACTACTAATGGTGGCAAATAGTATTGTAGCGGCACAGCTTTAGGTTCCCATATGAAAGTTACTTTATCTTCAAGTAGTTTTAATCTTCCACTTGTTGGTTCTCCACGACTTCCATGTAATTTAGCGCAAATTGTGCCATCGCGAAGACTGTCACGAAAAGCATTGAGCTGTCGATCGTCATTCAAAGAGGTTGTATGCTCTTCGTCGCTAGTCATTCCTTGCTCAACGTTTACGAGTTAGAACATAACAAGATACTTATTTTTAGCGAGCTTTAAGCTCATTTTGGCATCAAGAGTGAATGCTAGTGTATTGATGTCAAGTGGGTAACCATCATTCTGTAGGCATAACCACCGAAACGTGTGTTAGGTGAAAGATAGGATCAAGACACGAAGACACGTCTCGCACGCAATTGCGTGTCGGTCGTCTTGAAAATATGCAGTGACGAAGCGAAGGCAATTAGTGTGGGTAGATCAATGAGAATCAAGAAATATTGCAGTGGTGTTACTAGATTTTTTTCTGCCTTTGCCTGACGAGACTGCTCCGAAAGCGAGACAATCAGTGTGAAATGTATCAAGGACAAGTTGAGGCAGAGAGTTCAATTCAATCTAAAATATCTGAATGCGCGAAGACGAGTTTCATTTAATATGATTGCGAAGTGGACTGAGGAACTCAATGCTTCGCACGTGGAGCTCTCCGATGCGAAAATAACGTTGACGACGATCTTGATGAATGAGAAGTTTGCTCAGATAAGATGGAAGGATTAGCGGAATCGACTGCGGTAAGCGTTTGAATCGTGAAAGCGTGAGCAAATCTGCACATGAAATGAGGAGATAGTGAGACTTTTATAAGATCATGTGTGGGTGACTATAAGAAACGAAACGAAGAGGTCGATTTACGATATCTGAGCTAACGAGGCAAACTAGCATTTTGAGGTAGAACTGCTGGTTTGCAATTATTTGCGCTTTAGGAATTATCACTAAAGGTACTCAGACATTTAAAATGAACACGCTTTAGAGTGTGAGAACTAACTCGTAAGTTTTGATCGTAATCACAAATGATACACAGCAAGATGACGCCAAAGTATATTTTGAACTGAATCGGAATCCTTCGAATCAGTATGACACCAGTGGATCACTGAATATGACGGTGGTAGCCAAAAAAGCACGGGATCAGATGAAGATTTATAGTAACGAACTGAAAAAGAAAGAAGTGTGGGAGAAGCGATTTTAGTTCAGAGAAGTAGAATTTTAATCAAAGAACAATTTCTATTTCAACACCAGATATCATTTGCAAACTAGTTAATTTCAGCGGCTTTCTCTTCTTCAAGACGCTTGCGTGCTTCGAACTCCACAAGCGCCGTGACCTTTTACAAAAAGACGTGAGAAAAACATGATGACCATTCGATAAAAATATCATACCCGACGCTCTTCCAAGTATTTACTTTGTAGGTAAAAGCCATAATATGCTCCTAATAGGCCTCCACAAAGTGCAAATACTGCTCGACCAGTGGAGCTTCCACCTCCAACATTAACACCGCTGCGAGGGCCGCCTGTCATCATTCTAGCAATGCTGCTTTTATTCAAAGTGATAGAATGTACATAATATAGTGGAACGTACACAAACTCATCTTAGATTCTAAAAAATGATTTGAAACGATAAAGTTCATAATGTTGGAACCGTTTTTCTTTAGATAGCAATCGTTTCGCGCATGAAATTGTCTCTCATCAAGATGTATAGAGAGCACTGGAAGGACAATAATTTAAATTAGTTTAACTGTAGCTCTTCCGAATGTGCAAGCGAAAATCCCAATGACTTCAGTCTGTAATTTACATTTTCAACATCAAAAGAGATGTCACGCTTGCAGCTTCTTGGATTGGGTTTCTTGGCACTTAGTCAAGCAGCGATCGATCCCATTTCAAATAAAAAATGGGGGTATAAGGCGACAACGAATGATGAATATGGACCGAATGACTGGAGCATGGGTTATCCAAATTGTGGAGGAAAACACCAGTCTCCAATCAATTTTCCAATGCAGAATCTCTCTCACACCAAGTTATGGGATATTGAAATGCCTCCACTTCAATTCTGTGGGGCGTGCGAGAAGTTTACTGTTAAGAAGTTGGAAGATTTATACAAGTGGGAAATACATCAAGATGAAAGTAAGTAAAAAAGAAATCTTCTTGTTAGCTACATTCGATGTTGATGATTTGCTATTTCAGATTGTACAGCGAAGTCGAAGAATAATAACGAGCGTAAATACTCACTTCTTCAATTTCACATGCATATGACGTCTGAGCACACAATTAACGGCAAACACTACGATGCCGAGCTACACTTTGTTCACAAGGCCGTGGACGGAAGTGGCAAGCTGCTAGTTCTAGGTATCTTTCTGCAAGCTGAGACTAATACACTGCCAAACGTATTTATTCAAGATCTTCTGGGTGATATGGAGAGTGAAGGCTCTTCGGGTGTGCAGGAACGAAACACAAACTACGCTGACATGCTTAATGACCTCGTGAAGAAGAGTCATTTGCTCAATTACAGCGGAAGTTTAACGACACCTGATTGCAGTGAAATAGTCGACTGGTGGGTCCTATCAAATCCAATTGCGATCTCGTTTGCCGATCTTCAAAAGATGAAAATTCTTTATGGTGAGCTCCCCGCAACGAATAATTCTTCTGACAATCGCCCCGTTCAATCTTTGAATGATCGGGAAATCATTTACTACCATAGACAACCTCATAAGAAGTGTTCGACGACCGGAAATTGATTGAGGTCAAAGTAGAATGGCTATAGATATTAAATAATAATATGCTTAATCACTTGGGTAATGATTTGAGATTTGTACAAGATATTTGACAATCTGAAATGACGGTTGTCGTGTTGTCGTTAACACCTTACGGGTCGTATGAATTTCAGTTTCGAAAAAAGAATGCGACCATTCGAGTAAAATACGTTCAGAAGAATGCAAGCTTTTTGCTGCGATTCAATGGTGCAAGTCTTACTTGCGTATGAGATGTATACAGCTGGTAAAGACGAGAGTAGAGTGGCTAAGAGCTAACTGCTTTTGGATCTATCCTTATATGTGTATTGAGTCTACTTTAGATTTTGTTACTCTTCACAGGACGATTATGATTTTGAGGCCTTTACGCATTAAACACATGTGAAGATCAAACATTCGTACCATGATGAAGATCTGTCCATTTTGCTGATATCACATGATAGTTTATATGAAGCAACGCTGATGCATGAACTGACTGTAGCAACATGTCGACGCAGCAGCATCGCAGAGAATCTCCAAGCTCTTGGACACTTTAGCATCTAAATTCTGAGTCGAACAATTTCCTGAATGATGCTTTTACGTATAAAAAGCTTCAACATGCATCTTATAGCTGGATCGCTTGGTTTTGTAATTCGCTCTACGAAAAACCTCTCACTGAAGTATAAATGTCGAAATATGCAGTGCCAAATCGCGGCTACCAGACAACTCACTTATAAACACAAGGAGCAAATAGCAAACACTAACCTTAGCTATTGTACTAAATTCTTCCGGGGTCCTGCATCTCAAAGCGGAAGAATCTGGATTGTGACGAATGACGCACTTTCTGGTGTTTGGTCTTGCAAGTCGCTCAATGCGTGAGCTCTAGAGGAAGAGTTCGTGCAGGTTTAAAGTTGTCGCAACGAGCGTCATATAATCTTTACACGTAGCCTCTTTCAACATATATGCGAACTATCCTACGTACCATCAAATGTTGCGAACGAAATGTGGGTGTTGAATGCTTCGCTCAACCAGACCCATTGAAACCCTCGCGTTGCCCATACTAATATATCAATTAGCATGTTACCAGGAACCACCGATACAAGACCTTCCTTGCTCTTTGCGCCAAAGCCTCGGGTTGTTCATCTTTAGTAATCTAACAAAAATTGCAGCTCAATGATCTGAATAGTTTGCCAAGCGCTTTTTTAAATGCCGACTTTGTTGTGCTGCATACAGTTGTTGACTTTGAATTTCTGAGTAATAGTCATTATAAAGGGTATAATTTTGAACTGACGCAGTTTATGACATAACACTGACAAAGTATTATAAGCTGGTGTATGTCTTCTCTAAATGACATTTTAGCAATCATGGGGATGGTCATCTTCGACCAGCGAACTACCTATCATATAGAACTTTAGTATGCCAAAATTTTGAGTTGGTGAGTGACAAAGTCATGATAAAGGTGGCATCTCAAGTCTCGTCAATTGATTATATCACGATTTATCAACTCACAGAACTTGATTATCATAATATGAAGCGGACAATCGCAAAAAAATTTTGCCCGCCGGTGTAATGGACAGCAACGGATCCTATAAAATAAAAGCCTGAACCGCCGTCTTGTACCGCAAAACCCCACCTCACTCGTTCAGTTCAGAAATTAATTCACTCAAAGGGCATCATTAATACTCGAAATGACGGCACTGCTCATTCTACTGACGTCAATAGTGAAAATTGTCGTCGAGCGCATTTCAAAAGCACCGGAGATGCAGCTATTGAGTAGCACGAGATCTGGCACCAACTTCGAAAACGCATACTGTACTCCTAAGCGCATAAATATGAAATACATTATTCAACAATTCCTGCGAATGAGCAATATAATTCTAAAAAGTGTCAATACCACTGACAGTGCTGCGCATATACCACTTTCACGTAGCTGGATGACAGAAATGAAACCCCATAACATCGTACTCACCTGTCGTTTAACAGCATAACAATGGTTTTCGAAACATATTTCATGCTCAATACCTTAATGAGCGTCTCGTGGAGCTGCAAAATCGGCTTGAAGAAGAAAAAGTCAAATACGTGAAGTAGGCTGGAGTAGCGACGTCATCGACGCAAAGTAATTGCTTGTAACGAAGTGAATACTAGCATTATCCGGTTTGATAATTTCGTCGTTCAATTGCGTGTCGCTTTGCTATGATGGTCAAATTAGTAACCATCAAAACAGTGCTGCTATCACAAAAGTGGTCCAGATATTTTTAAAAAAGTGTGCGTGATGCTCACTGAAGCTTCAAAGCTGCAAGTCTAGAAAGCATCAATGTCGACGTCTCACTAACATTCTGTCGATGAACTGCAATTTGTTCATTTGTTTGGCGTGCGAGAGGTAAGTAGAACAAAAGTTTTAAGACACAATGCTACTGATATAAAAAATACGCTTGGAAGACGTCGGCTGATATAACATGGGAATCCATTTGCACAAGCAAGATGATTCATGCCTTCGTATGTTGGGACGATATAGAAAAGACCTCGGCTTGCGTGACTTGAAATATCATTGTCAGTCCTAAGAGTCTAGAGATGACATATCTTACAAGATTTGATAAAACTGGACAGTAACAACAGCACCCATAGGTGTAGTAGCATTTAAAGCGTGTACAGTCTGCGGTGATGCTTTAAGACGCACTCATCTTTATCTCGTCCAGTATTGATATTCTGCAAAATGTCTTTAAATTGGCAGCATTTAGCCACAATGCATGAATGGCGTCCTATATACCATAGTTTTGTAAGTATGAGTAGCGTGTCGTCCTACGACTTTGTACTTTCGTAAGTTTTACGAGCTGACGTCAAAACACATGATGATAAGCAATCGTAACGAGATATGATACTTGACAAATGTCTTAACTATATGGCGAAAGCATAGTCTGAGTAAGGCAAAAGACTGCTTCTTGCTTCATGACTTTTAGCTTCTTTCTAATGCTCTTCTACATGGAGATATGGCGCAACGACAATTACGACAGTGCCACCAGGCTAACATGAGTGTCACTATTTCACATGAAGGACTCAGATAAAGAAGTGGACATTTAATGTAAAAACCAGACCACTTGATAACAGCAACGTGGCAGACTGAGAAACGAAGACGTAGACTAAAGATGGTCCTCAAAGCTGCTAAGAACTTCTTGTCAAGGACGCGGAATAGAAAATGCTTAAATTAGGCAGGTAGGTAAAATGGATCTTTTATAATATTGGAACCCGTAGCAATCAGGATTGGTGCGTAATCTGTAATGTAATGCACGCCATAACCTCGGTTGCATTCTGCTGTTTTGATTGGCTGAAAAAGATAACCTGGGAGAGCGAGCGTTCAGTGCTGCCTTTACTATACCAAGTAGTCAGTTGCTCTCGTTCCGAATCAACACAACTACTGCAGCTCCTTCTCGTCATGATTAAGGTCAAGTGGGACTCTATCAAGAACGCTACTTCAAGCTTTAATGTTACAACACGTACAAGTAGCGAACGCCCTACACTTACTGCGCTAATGGATGGCATTGTCATCAATAGTACGAGTAGTGGCAATAGCAACATGGCCGCATCGCGACGTCCACCATTACCAAAATGGAACATGGGCACAATTTCAGAAGACTCAATGCCCACGTTTAATGCAACGACTACTAGATGGGCTAATGATCGTTACGAATTGACAGAGAGTGGTGAGGTGCGTAATAAGGCAAATCATCAACGCATTTCCAAGCTTGAGATTCGAGAACATGGCGAGGAGGTTCTACGTGGTCTTATTGATCATGTACATACACGAATGTTACAAGAGTTGTTGTTTCTCGAACAAGCCATTCCTCCCCTTGAGTTTGAACGCAATTCTATGGCATTGGGTTTTGATCCGGGCGCGAGCAATGCAGGAAGTCGAGTGGGTTCAGTAGGATCTGTACGCTCAAGTTCGTCTAGTATTTGCTCAACTAATGATGGGTTTCGTATGATGATCGACACGACGGAACCGCGATGCATATTTCACACGAGCAAGAACTTCAGTGTTGCAGAAAAACTTTTAGTCTTTGTTTGTTCGTTTCGAGGTTTAAGTTGTGGGATTTGGAGCCGCAGTGTGCTACTAAAAGACGGCGTCCAGGTTGGTTCGATGTTGCCATATTTTCAAAAAGCCATTGAAGCGGGATACGGTATTTTGGTCATGAATCCCAATATGAATACCCAATTAATGGTTACACAAGACGGTACAGTTGAGAAAATGCCCATTCGAGGCTCAAGTAACGCTGAGGAACATTGTGACCATGTATGGCGCAATTATATCTTTCCCTCGGCTGCCCATAAAGTGCATTTTATTGCTTATGGATACGGTGGTGTCCTCGTGACACAATTGATTGCCAAATATCGGTATGAACTAAAGAGTCGACTCGGTAATGTTGCTTTTATTGAAAGTTCACACAAGATTGATCCATCGTGGAATTCAGGATTTAAACGATTCTTTTCACAGCACAGTATCTCTTGGTCTAGGTCCGATTGTCCTCTTAATACGGAGCTTGGTCGTGACGCTACAGCATTTGCAGCGACTAGTGGACCAAGTGGAGCTGGCACAACGTCTAGTAGTGATGATACCTTCTCCATTGGTCCCTCAACTCCACCGTCCAGGTCACCAACGAGTCCTAATGCTCAATTTAGTGGTTTTGGATGCATTTGTTTGTCTGCTGGACCATGTGAAGGTGCGAACGAAAGTCCGGCGTACACGACCAAGGAAGTGCTAGATACGGTGTTTGCCTTCTTGGCATCCCCAACGCCGTATGAATTTCAGCGCTCTGCTGCACGTAAAGTGCGATTAAATGCATTGATGGAGGAACAGCAACAGGCTCGAGTCACAGCATCGACGAAGTACAATGGACAAGGGGAGGATTTGCCTACTGATCCAGCAGTACGCACACGGAAACCGACATCGCCACAAACGGTTTCTAGCAATATCGTCGAAACGGAAGTGAAATCTCGGGAAGATGATACGCTAACGATCAATGACTTTGATCTATTACGAGTGGTGGGTCGAGGAGCTTTTGGCAAAGTTATGCTTGTACGACGAAAGGTGGCTCAACAGCAAAAGGGAGCACAATTGTTGAGTCCACGTACAATGATGGCCATGGGAATGACAGCACAACAAATTGCAGGTGCTACAGGTGGTGAGCGTGGTAAAGTGTATGCTATGAAAGTTATCAAAAAGGCTGCTGTGTTTGCCAAGAATCAAGTGGAACACACGAAAACGGAACGTCGAATTTTACAAGGAATTGATCATCCGTTTATGGTTAAGCTGCGCTATGCGTTCCAAAATGAAGCCAAGTTGTACTTTGTAATGGATTATTACAACGGAGGGACTTTACACTTTCATTTGCGTCGAGCCATGCACTTTGATGAAGTGCGTACAAGATTCTATGCCGCTCAATTAGTATTGGCCATTTCGCACCTCCATACGTATAATATTGTATACCGTGATCTTAAACCGGAGAACATTTTATTGGATGACCAAGGATACATTGCACTCACGGATTTTGGACTCTCACACGACCGCTTCGACAGTAACGATGGTATGCAGACATTCTGTGGTACACCTGAGTACATTGCGCCTGAGCTCATTCGTCGTGTGTCATACGGAAAAGCTGTCGATTATTGGTCTATGGGAGTTTTGATCTTTGAAATGCTTGCGGGTTACACACCATTTTATCACACAAATCGAAAACGTAACTTTCAAAATATTGTCAAACTCCCACTCCGATTTCCATCTGAATTTTCAGACGATGCACGATCATTGCTTCGTGGCTTGATCTGTCGTAATCCAGCCAAGCGACTTGGATCTGGTCCTTGTGGCGCGCAGGAGATCATGGATCATCCGTTCTTTGCGCAGGTGGATTGGGAGAAGCTGTATAAACGGGATTTTCCGGTTCCTTTCCGACCTGTGGTCAAATCAGATGGGGAAGTGAACAATGTGCCGGAGTTTTTTAAACGACAGGAAGTGATCGACTCGGTAGTATCGGATGCTCCTATCGGAAAAAGTCACGTCTTTCAGGGCTTTTCTTACACGGACCCGCTCAATTTGTAAGAGAAGTACACAAGGGACTAGTGAATGGTCAAGATTGTAAGTTTTGAATGTGCCAGCGTAGAACAAATGAGCTTTCTTGATTTGTCGAGTAAGGTAGAGTAACACAAGCGATGATGCGCTCGTGATAAAAGTTGTATTCAAATATATTTCTCAAATAATTCTGGATATATCGACTCTTTGGTAATTTTCTGCTTATCTAACAATTTTGGAAAAAAACATATTATGAAAGTTACATTTATTTTTGATGAAATTAATCGCTTGAAAATCAAGCAATATAAAGAAAAGTGTATATTTTTATTTTTCAAATTGGTTTACAGGGCAGTTCAGTTCCCTTTAAGGTTTATACAACTGTGCAGCATACCTTCTGTATCCAACTCTTAAGATTGGCGGAAGTAAAAGACAATGTCACGATCGTTTAGAGGTTGAATGGGGCGGACGTTTGAAGACTGAGGAAGCATATTGTAAAGCATTTTCATTCTTTGCAAGTCGACGAGCGAGATTGCAAATGGGTTCAAAAGGACCCACCAGTCGACGTTTTCGGTGCACTCAGGCGTGGTTAAACTTCCACTATAGTTGACTAGATGAGTCGTTTTCACGAGTTCGTTTAGTAGTTCAGCATAATTGACATCGCTCTTGTCGAGATCCGCAGGGAAATTTTCCATGTCTGTTAGGAGGTTCTGAATAAATGCATTCGGCTGAGCGACAGTCACAGCTTGAAGTAAGACCCCAATGACCAATTGTTTGCCACTTCCATCCATTGATTTGTGAACAAATTGAAGCTCAGCATCATAACGTTCATTGTTAATCGTATGCTCTGATGTCAAGCGCAAGTAAAATTGTAGCAATGAATACTCCTTCTCGTCGTCTGTCGACTTGGCTGTACAGTCTGCAATACAACATCAAGCAGTATGTTGTGAGTTTTTGTTATATCGTTTTGATCGAATCATATACTTACTATCATCGCCTTGAATCTCCCACTTGTACAAATTTTCCAATTTCTTAATGATAGATTCATCACAATCACCGTCGAATTGAAGTGGAGGATTTTCGGTGTCCCAGACTTTGACATTGTCAATGTTCGGCAGAAAAATGTTGATCGGGGACTGATGGTCTCCTTTACAAACTGGACTTTCGAAGTTCCAGCCTAAGGCGCTGGAAACGCGTTGGGATGTCACCTGACTAAGAGCCAGCATAGGCAATGCAAGAGTCTGAAGGCGTGTCATGATACTTGTTGCTTGAAAGGTAAATTGTAAACTGATGTCATGAAGGCACTATCAAACAAGCAAAAATTGTTGACTAAAGCTGTTAAACGATGAGGCTTTCTGATGAATTAATCCCGACGTCGAATCGTTTGACAGACCTCATGCCGATGTTCGACTTTCTTGTATTACCCAACTGTATGCTATTAGAATCAGAAGAGAAGCATCAAAGTATCCGTGACACGGTAGATCATTTATTTTTGTAGTGCGGCTTTACGTATCTTTGTCGAAAACGTTTCGATCGAAGAGATCTAAGGATTTGCAACAGTAATAAAAGCATGCCTTTTTGTATGACTTTTCCTCATCTCGACCTTTCGATTTCAAGAGCAAATTTTCAACAGCTAATGAACCATTGTGCTACTATAGACGCTAGGCAACTGTAGACATTGCAAGGAATCGCTTCGACAGGCTGACGCAGTATCCGAGAAAAGCAACCAATGTCTGTTGACACTGTTCTCCCCAATGAAACGACATTATCTACTTCATATCAGGGGATAGACACTGGAGATCGAATATCTATGATAATCCACTTACATAGGTTGGAGTAGCTTTACAGTAGCTTGTATCTCACATAGATCAAAGTGGAATCTTTTGATTATTTACTATACGCGTGTATTCTGGACTTCATTCAGCAGATCATAACAATATGATAAAGAGCATTGATTCTTGTAGGATTGGATGCATAACGGACATAGGCTGTCACGTAACCATAAATATCCATGATTTACGTCTATACTCTAGAGCTTTGGTATCAAATTACATGTCCAATAAAAAACAGCTCACTGAATCAAACTGAGATCAGGATCAATTGTTTTTACATGTTATAATGCTTCCCTTTGTCGTGCGTATTGAACTATCTGAAGCTACAAAACCCAAGACTTAAAAAAAATCTCTTTTACAGTAGAAAAGATATAAGACAGTATTGCCACTTTGCTGTTTGTGGTTCATTTTTTCATGAATCTTGTGTGTTGTCGTAAATATTTTTTTCTCGTCATCCTTGCCAACCACAATGAAAAAAAACTTGTCGTACTTCCTTCATATTTAGCTATTTAACACCATTTGTAGCCATCGCTGCTTACAAAGGTTAGACTGAGAATACTTCAATCCAATAACATCGCGAAAATATGTTTATACCTAGCATTTGAGATCACTGACTTATTGTACAAAACGTCACAATGGAATTTCGTATGGTAAAGACCTACAAGACACATGAGTTGTCAGGCTTATGTCAAGCGTTACATGTAGATATATTCTGGAACAGAGCTAAATATTTTCTTGTACCAGCTTAATTCTAATTTATGTCACTCTTGATTAGAAAAACAAATCGGTGATCTAAATATATGTCACTCTTGAGAGTGACCAGCAAACCGGTGATCTAGTTAAAATCTTCCTGGTTGGAGGAGACGATCTCACCATTTATGCCTCAGCAAATCCGGACTCCCGCAGGCAAACTTTCTTTTGTGCAATGAGCACGGAAACATAATTGCATTCATCGTCTCGCAACTCTTACAACCAACTCCTGTGGACAACTCGTGAAGCTTTATGCGACCTTATCTTTTGTATCTTGAGCTTTCACTTTTAGACTCTATGTCACAGGTAATGTGTAAAGACTGACCATCCCAACGACTGCCTCGGCACTGCACTCACAAGTAAAATAAGCAATCGCGGCAACTTTGTGAAGGTTCACTATATAAACAATGAGTTTGTCATACGGTGTTGCTGACTAGCCATTTTACTCGCGAATTACAGTCGCCTGTCTCCTCCGGTTTTAGCTAAGGAGACGGCTCAACATAGTCGCTCATATCCGCCTACCAGATTTAATCTCTGAAAAGACCAGCTAACAACTCTACTTCAATTCCCTATCAAAGCTGACGCGATATGCCGTTGCTTTTCCCAATTAAGCAGAGATCAATCCGAAGGCCGCGATATACGACCGCTTTCTTACGTCTCATGTTGAGGCCGCGGCCCACTGCTGTTTTTGTCATTAAAATTAGCTCAAGGCACGTGACGATATATTTGATAGTTATCTCGGATCACTCCATGTCCTGCACCGAACTTATCGCAGCTCGTTGCTCGCGTCAAAAGCGCTTCTGCTTTCTGGTAGAGGGAGGCTCAAATTCACCAAGATTCAACAGAAGCAAAGTACGAGGGACCCAATGTCCCCAATTCCTGTCAATCAAGGTTCATGTTCATGTACGCCATAATAATCCGGGTCTACCTTAAACGCTCAGAAACGTCTTGAGATTCACAGAAACACTCAACAAAACCTTCATTATTTATGCCGTCAAGAATTTGACATCTTTAATGACTAGCGTGCTGTCTACTGTTTTCGACAGTAGCGCAGCGCACGTATTTGCACGGTGCTATCAACCTACCATGATTTTCGACGGCTTTTTAATTGAAGACGTTATGTTACCAAACACCAATTCTGGAATTCTGAACCTTAACGCTTTTAAAAACACTAATTTCCTCCAGGGTTTGGATCCTCTAGCATCGACATCCACGATGCATAGTGCAGTTCAGTTTTTTTCAGTCGGCCACCCGCGCCATCTCTAAACGGCTTTTACCGAGTATGTCTCGTCCTACTTCTGGTAGAATTAGAGGCATAGCACTTCTCACTAAAAGAGAAGGGAACATGCGGTGCTAACCTGTTTGGTGCTGCTTTAGATATTGCATCTGAGGATGCTCAACAGCTCCGAAATACTCTCTTCTTTCGTGGAATTATTGCTTTCCATTACTTCTGGCACGTTTTAAAGCCGTAAACCAACTGTATGTCAAATGGCCCTCGTGGCACGAAATAAGTTTAATCCGCCCTTTGATTCGACGCCCTCCGCTACAACAAAAGGGGTTTATGAAATGCAAATCGCCAAATCTGAAAATTCACCAAGCTTTAATCTACCGCCTTCAAAAAGAGTATGTCGACAATGCAGTGACGATAGCCCCCTTGATGGGTGGACAAAATCTATCATTGCACAAGGTCACCAGGATTGGTGGTGAGAGTACTTGCAATACCTGGTATCTGCGTCATTTTCATACGTAAGCAGCTTCAAAGCCTTCGTCCAAAGCTGACAATTCGTAACGTCTTTGTGAAAGCTGCTTGGTTTGGCCAATTACTTGCACATATACAGTGCTGTTGACATCAATACGAAATGGTCTCTCACTAGTCTCTCAAAAAAGGATATCAAATGGCATTTGGATTACAAAGAAAAATAGGCCTTGAAAACTGTGCGAGAAGTCTCATATATACCCCAACTTTTAGCCTTCGCATCCGTATCGGCCATATCATGTTTTGACGCTTTGACCTTTACTCAGGCTGTCCTTTACTCCAAGCAGACTCCAAGAGGCAAAGCACGGCATTGGGTTTGAATCTCGCCAGCTCAAATCGGGACGAAATTTTATTTAGATTACGAAGAAGAGCTACTTGCGATGAGGAATCTTAATGTTAAGATTTGGCACAGCTGTCGGCTGAAAGCCACATGTGATCAATTCAGATTATGCGTCGTTGCTAATAAGCTATTGTCGCCATTTCTCTCGTAGAGAATGGCAGAATTGTTTTCTTTCTATGAATATTTTTTTACGAAGTGATGGTCATGCATGGGTTGACTTCATTTGGTGGTCAATGCTTTTTTGTAGCGCCCAGATTATGAAATGTCGCATGTCACGGGGGTGGTGTCACGCATCGATGAGGTCATACGTATCGCGTAACGTAATGGGTTGCCTTGTTTAGGTGTCGGTAATCACCGAGATTTCGACTTTTAATGTTGCTATATTGTAGCGTTTGAGAGAGCGTTTACACTCAACACTCAACGTGTACCTCACAATGTGGATATAGATTACTGCACTAAGCACATGACACCCCCTCAGATGCCAGATGGTGGTGAAAAGACACTCGACGCAGTGAGCGCTATGTACAGGTGGCTCAGCAGGTAAGCACTGAAGCGCACAGTCAGCAAATTAAACTCTCGCCATTTTCATCGGCATCATTGCCGTTAAATACGCTATGAATACGTTTAATTTTTTTCTCAACCCTGCAACAGTAGTGACAGGCACTTGAAACTTTCGTCGGGGTTGCACGTCGTTTCTTGCACCATCCATTGTCTGCTGACACATACTCCTCACCTTGACAGTTTGCGATTGATCAACACCTTCACCCTATATCATAAACTTCATGCCCTCGTGAATCGATTCCGGACGCAAATATGCATCGTGCACACCGTGGGAGCGCCAAGCCAAATGCAACTAAATCGCCTGGCAAGGCAGACGGTCACAACGGCCATTCGCGATTTCTTTTTATCGTCGGCTGATATAGCGTGGTGACGCGTTGTTCAAGCTCGACTTTTCCAGGTGCGACCGAAGCTCGCAGAGTAGGATTTCTACCTTGAACTATGCGTGGATGCTCGTTATCTCAATCTTGTTGATGCGGCTACTGGTGGAGAAATACATAGTAAAAGTAGAGTTGTAGTTCAAAGCAGAGGTGAAAGGATATTAGACATATATCCGCTTGATAGGTGGTCGCTTGATCATTAGATAGCTAAATGCAAATTGAATGAATCGATGCTTTACTTGCAAAATTATTCATTACAAAATTCTCTTCCGTAGAGATGTACGTGGCATCCACCGTTTTTGACTCTCAACTAACCCCATTCTCAAAGCGTTTAATCCAAGATGAAATCAAGTGCTGAATTCTGGTCCAGAACGAAAAAACGCTCCACATAGTGAAATTCCTGAACATTTCCTGGAAAAACTTATAAGCATTTTTGTTGCTTAAACTGGTGTTTCCGTTATAGGTCGCACGGGATTGTGTCCACACTTAGTATCTCGTATACCTTGAGCATTGCCTACTGCTGTATCATACGCGCGTTTTGTAATGATTGGACGTTTTTTAAATATGATCGGGTGTTCCACCGCTCCATTAAGCCCAAGGCATTGAGACCAATAGTTTACAATCCTTGGATATGAGCCACACCACTTGCAGTGAGAGTCACTCTATTTTAGGTACTGATATCGACACTTGCGACTATCAAAAAGCTTAGTTCCTCCACTATTGGCCACCTGGCATCTGCGAAGACTCAACGTGTCTTTGTTAGCGGCTTGTCGGGTGAGTTGGATTTATACCTCTTGACTGTGACGATGGGGCACAAGGCGCAAGAGCTCGATACCTCCACGAATTTAGCAAATGTAAGTTCGACTGTGTTGCTTAGCAGCTAAGAGATTAATTATATGCTTCGTAGCATGGCTGAGATCGATCCTCGGGTGCGCCATTATCTTTCAACTCCCGTACTCTAGCGGAACCTTGCGGCACCGAAGATGTTTAAATGTATTTAATGCAGCATTCATCGCATATTCAAAAGATTCTAAATGAACGCGGAAAACCTCGGTGGAAGCCGTACTGACCTGATTCCTGAAACCCAATATTGAATCACTCGCCAATGGCCCTTATCAGAAGTATAGTGCTTGCCCGAGCAGTTATCATACCGCCATCGAGGCGATCAAAACTCGTTCGTTGGACACATTTGTCGTCTAATGTCTGCCTCCCTAAGCAGATTGACAGGAGTTGCGAGCGCACACGAAACGTCTTGTTAAGAATCGGCGACATAAGCCACTTTTACAATTTTTATTGCGGAATCGCGCACTTAAGTGCTACTTCTTGCGCGCAACCACCAAGCTATGAGACCGCTCGCGCAATCTAACGCCTGCTCTGCCTGGGAAATGATTGCTTTTCATGCCTTTCCCAGCTTCTCTCGACCTCTAGGCATAGATTTCCAATTTTTGACCTCGATGGACTGGAGCTTAGCAAAAACAATTTTGCAACTGGACCATCACTGGAGACTGATCAAAGTGTTCTCGAAGGTGTCCTATTGACTCATTTTCGTAGCAAACGATCACCTCCGGGTGATCACTATACGGATTCAATCCCTGGGACGCCGATTGCCTTATCATCTCGCGACCAGCAATAAAAATGACTTAACCAAGTGCGTCTATTCGTGCCGGCGACACATAATCAAACAACATCTTTACCACTCTCACACAAGAAAGAGTCTATAACGCCTCTGTCGTCGGATTGACGACAAGTGGAACGGGTTTACCGTGCAACGTTCACAAAAAAGACGTTGACACAAAATATCTGTATTTAAGCGCACAGAAGATAGAATTTTATACCTTTTCCACGAGCAGTAGAACCAAGTCTAATTTAACTTATTACCAGCTATATTTCCTATACTATGTTTGATAAAATAAACAAGATTAAGCAAAGAACGTAAAAATCAAAATCCCTAAATGCCTCGGGTTTCGCCGTTGAGTAATATTTTCCCACCAGTACATGGACTTGAATCCATTCAGTATTGTATAACTAACGAAAAGGGTGCTGCAAATTCAGAGCAATACAGTACGTACTCCATTAATATGCGTTCTACCACTTACAAAAACTTAACGCTTTGCAACGCGTTGTGAGAGGATAGCAGACCAGTGTCGCGCGAGCATCGTCTCATCGGAGTTTCATAACTTCATCCGTATCGACTACTAATCATGATATACAATCATGGCGTTTGATTTTAGTAATTCTGAGCTTTGCTTTTAGGTCGAGGGTAATAGTTTAATGTACTTAAGTATTATTATACGATTTTTTTCAGTGTGAATTACCCCGTACATCGTACCTACACAGGGCACCGTGCTTCTAGTCTTCGTACCTGTAAGCTACGCGAAGTTCACAAATTTTATTACATTCGTCTTTGACGCGTAGTTTGTCGAACGCGACGGCAAGATACCAATACAAATCGTTTGGTGCGACCGCTGCTGCACCACTGTAACATACGTTGATTGATAATTGTTCTGCAAACACCAACGCTCGACAAAGACGTCAAATTGGACGCTCATCAGCTCAATTTCTTGCTGTAAACGGCTCTACCCATCCCAATGATTCTGCTTTACCGCTGCGTGCAAAGTTTTGAAATCGGCATGAAGCGAGTGCGAGGAATATATTAGCTATCTGCAAAGATCCTTCGTATTCTCTTGGTCTTTTACAAACGGATGGATCACAATGAGATGGCGACAGATCCATCACACGTGTTTTCAGTCGATCGGAAAAGGTTTTTGCAAATCGACTTTGCTTCAGGGAATCATTCCGTTTTACTTTTCAATCGCGCACATCAACAGGGCGGTGTGACGCCATCAACGCTTTTGTTCGTACACATCACGAAGCGAACTTGGTGATAATGGAGAAATCCCCTCACTCGGTGCTGATATTTTGTGCCAAAATAAAGATAGCAACTGGCAAATTGTTCATGCCTATGACAAGCTAAATCCAACCCCGATTTTGGTGCAAACGTCGAGCGCTATCAAGGGTGTTCTCCAGGTGCAGAGCAACATAAGTGGTTGCACTTTGTCCGATACTGTATCAACATGATTAATTGCGAATGAAAGTCATTCCCCCGCGGTAAGCACTCTGAGCCATTTGCTCTGTATATGGCTAGATATGCCACGGGGACTGTAAAGCGCACTTGCGTCTAGTGACGCCGCTGTTTCGATCGCAAACTGCACGCGTACATATATTTTTCACCTATTAAACGATTAATCTTGATCCCCGCTTGTCGTGCATAGACCGCTGATGGAAGCATTCAAACTAACACTTGATGTCAGTGCTATGATGTCTGTGCTTGAATGAATGTTTTGCCAACATAGGCAAATATATTTTTTCTGCGTCGACAAAATGGGTTGCTATGTTAGAGATCCTGGTCTACAAGCAAATTCTGCAAGATGAAAGTTGTAGATGGAGTATTGCCACGAATCCGAGCGATCTAATGGTGTGGTTGGGCTTGGCCAGTTATCCACGCAGATGATTCCGTGCCCAAATGGTACGGATTCTTATCAATCTTTTCGGATAAGATGTCAGATGGCCCAGGAGTACGGTAAAAGCAATAGATCTCATGGCTGTAGAAGATACATTGGTCTTCGTCTTAATTTTGGCCTTTCCGATTCCGGATCAACCGCTTTACGTTGTCTGTTCTGCTGAGTCTTTGTCATAGGTTGTGCTTTCCCTCAAGCAAGTGACAATCACGTTACTATATAAGAATCTACCCAGCTTCAAGCGGCAGATGAGAGCTATTTACTACGGCAAGTTACTTGCTAGTCTACATACAGCAGTTCACCGTGATACTTACGACGGTGACTAAACGGTTGGTAACGTGGCGAACATGGCGCAAGGAGATGAGCATGCCCTACTTGAAGTGCAAGAGTCGCGTCAAATCTTGCCCAGATCACGTCGTGTTTATGGCTTCTAACCATCCGGATTTTGGAAATTACAAAGCACAACGCGAACGTCGCAGTGGAAAACCATCATCTCCAGTATATCCTGTTTAAACTCCGTAGAATTTCATCAGACAGCAAATCAGTAAAAATAACCATGGGTATAATTATCTCAAGATTGTTCTCGACGACCATGCTTCTTCACCAAGAAAGATATAGATCGTGGGTACGCCTCATCGTAAGACGCACGCACCAAGTATGGCGATCGTGCCATAGTTGAGCTGCAAACCTCCATGCCGTTTCCGAATGAGAGTATCCCGTTCACATTACCGCAAAATGCAGCAGCTCTGGTGTACTAATCAGTCTACCACGCGCTTCACGTGAAACAGTGCCACCCCTTGCAAATCGAGAAGTTCTGGCGATGGACGACCTTCCGCCATTGCCTCTCGTGATCTTGTTTGCTTGTAAATGCACGATGACTTCCTCCGAGAGTACCGACGTGCGTCGAAAATTGACATAGGCCAGATAATGGGCTTGTTTCGTAAGCTCCGCCATCGCACCGTCTTTTCTAATTGTCTAGAATTTCGTGGCTGCTTTAGATCAAGAGCACGGCTACAAGGAAAGTTGGAAACGCTGCCCCAAATGCAACAGGGCTCTTCCTATGACTGATCTAAAGAGCGGGATCGTAGTATGGCCTAAGGAAATATACATGAAACACTGTGTGTGTTCGAATTTTTTGGGAAGGTGCTCAGAATATAATACTCTTTTTTTTCGCAACGATCGTATTGGTTCGATGTAAGCGATCTCAAGTTCATTTTATTGACCACAGACACTGTGTTTGTGAGCAGAATCTAATTAATAATATTTTTGTCGCACCGCATTTCGTGTGCTTCGCCTGCCTCTGAAATCGGCGTATTGCCTTTATATATCCTAAATCTCAGTCGTAGCGCTGCGCAGCTGGTGCATATAGTTCAATCTCATTGAAATGAAGCACTAACTCTTGCTGCATGCCGATACCAGCGAGTCAAATTTGATCAACAGCCCTCCACTCAAACCAGAGCTACTCCGTGACAGTGTATGAAGGCAAACGGAGTTTGTGAAACCATGTATGATTGATGAGGTATACGACGAGTGTCTTGTGGGCACAGCGAGCGTTAGAATAAGGTATATTCATGCTCTACAATACTTCACATCCCATAAAAACTAGTTGCGCAGCAAAATTTGCGTCTAACCAGTACGCTGAACTTATCACCTCGTTAATTGGCGACATCACCATTGTGATATGAGACAGTATATAGTCGAGCAAAGCAACTGTGCATCCGCCAACACGCTCAGATTATGCATTATATCAAATGAAAATGCGGCATAAAAGGATTAAAATCTCCATACTCTCCTTAAGACGTAGTCAACACGTCGCTGAGGAAAATGACGCATAATCTGTATAGACCACAAACTATCAGAGCCAAGAAGGTACACTCTGAAACCAAAAAGGGCATATTTCATTGCAATTGGCTTCTTGTCATTCCCAGCGTTGTTTTTTAAACTGCTTTCAGTTGACGAGACTCAAACACGACCATGCGTTCATGCCTATTGGTATCTGCTTGAGGCAAAATGCATCAAATTTCAGGGTCGAAACGTCCCAGATGATGTGAAGTCGCCGATCTGTATTGTAAGCAAAAAACGAAGGCTCGTTTTGCCAGCCTGGTTTCTGACTCTTGCACTCCGATAATATTTGATATCCTTTCAATGAAGATGTATCAGGGTCGTGACATGTCGGCCTAGTTTGCACCGTACTTGTGCAAGTAACTGACCAGACTAAGTCACTTTATCAAGTCCTGATATAAATTCCAATCATAAATCTGTAGGCGATAAAGGCATAGTAGTCTAAAGTGGCAAACCGCTAGTCTTAAAGCACACATCACTGCTCATAAGGGTAAATTGTGAACGTCCACATCGGAATACACGTGCTCCGCGCGACTATGGACAACTCCATGGTACAATTAGCTTTGTACGTAGGTTTGTTATGCCCTGATAAGGTGCTTCGATTAGAGTTTACACGTCGCTGGGTTATTCAAGCCATCTCGCTAAGGTGTGCTGCAGAAAACATGGTCGGTTGTACTTTGTTAGGTTCCCTTGACCTCGCCAATGATTCTTATCAGCTCTCAACGAGAGACATTGACATCTCTTTACGAATCACCGCGGAATCTTGACTACGCATACCGAAGAGAAGAGATCGACGACAAGTGAGAAAATTTGCCTTATCTCATTAAAACTGCATCCTTGTTGGCAAAAAAGAAGCGAAAAATACTCGTGTCTCATTGATGAAGGCCGTTGGCATGTGACGCAATATTTGATTCGCAAAATTCAACTACATCGTAAACGACCAAATCGAGAAGAAGCACGCTGGTAAATTTCACGTCATCACATCGTGATATTCATTTTACAAAGGACATTCGTAATGTATTTGATAATAGTTGTCTTACTCTGTGCTGTTAGTGCTCTACGAATGATCTTATGATTGATTCATCCATGACTGATGACAAGCCAGGCGCCTTTGCTGGTATCATCTGTACAACCGCGGTGACGTAACCGACTTGCGCTTCTTGCAAACATTTCACACGGGTGTTTATCTCTAGGTTTGTGAGAAAAGGCTAACAAAATCTACGACTACTCTGGTCACTCAAAATCCGAAACGGATTTTCTTTCTCGCCACTTATCCGTTAAACTTCACAGATCCGCGCGGTGAGCACATCCCACGGTAGCGCTGAGCCAGCAGTATCTACATATCGTGACAAGGATGAACCATCCTTGTAATTGTCAGAGTGTACCTGATCATCTTGCGACCTTAGTCACGCATCAATTTCCAACGGCTCTGGTACGGCAGACCGCGGTATGAAGTCACATCTCTTTCTACCGGTCCAATCACAGGAAGTAACATCTCACGGATGTTTTATTCCCTCCGCCAAAGATTTACCCAGGGGGCCACAAGAAATAGTCGTTCTTTCATGCCTCGAAAGAAAGACGCTCTGAAGGCTACCATATGCAATCGCCCTGATGCTTCGTCTCCCGAGATATTGATATACTGTCGCTTCTGGAGCCCAAGCTCTGCCCTAGCAAAATCTGCAAATCATTCGAAAAATCTCATATCACACACATGCCTGCACAGAAGCTATCGTAGATCCCTATCGGGGTCAGCAGAGCTTCTGTCTCTTGGAAGTGGTAGGTTCACGACTCGCCAATGCTCCACCAGAGAAAATGTCCGTAGAACCTTACTACTTTACTTCCAATCGACCCATTCCTTTACTCGTAGCGTTCCAGCCACGCAATGACTACCCACGCTGTCAAATTTCTTACACCTCACTATAAAGTTCAGTTTTACCTTAGGCACTTACACATCGCCCCTGTTTGCAAGACGCACGGAACCGAATTATCCATATTTGACACTCTCGATGCCTCCGCGTACTGTATACCGTTTGGAATAGTCGCACGTCGTACGCAATTGCACGGTGCTCCTATAACGATTTGGGTATTTCACGACTTCAGAAGCTCGGGATGCTGCTATCAATAATCATAAACCCTGGGCTGTGAACTCGTCTGTGAGAGAGTCGCATATTTTGGAGCTAAGCTCCATTGACTACGAGTTCCAAGAGGTACGATTCAGCTCAGTTCTCTCCCAGTTGGCCGAGCTTCTGGAAATTGATGCTGAATTGCGAGGAATTTGTTGTTGAAAGCAAGGGTAGGCACAGATGTTTCATCTGCGGGTATTGAAGCCCTACTCGCTAGGTAAGAAATCTCTCACTTCTCCTCGGCATAGCCAAAGTCCAATTTCTCTGCTGTACTACAATTTCAGCACTGCACCCTGCCCTCAAGGCACAAAATTTGTGCTATACATTAAAGACGATGCCTTAAACTTCCTTGAAAGTAGTAGTGTGAATGCGGGTGGCATCAGAACAAGCAACACCCAATCGGAGAGATATTGCTTCCAAGAACGGTCCAGCGCTATTTCAGCGACAAGAGTTCTTCAATCCTCGACATAGTCCGCCTCGCATCTATTGATAGGTAGACAAGAAATTAAACTGTACCCGATATGCCTAGTTAGGCGATGCGAGCACCTGCGACATCGGTCGCTTCAAATTGTCTTACACTGAGAAGGTCTTTTTTGTCGAAGATTTGCACGTAAAAAACTCATTTGAGCACCCGGACTTTCTAGTTAGAGCTCACAAGCGCGACGCGCTGTGGCTCCGTGTTTAGCAAGGCCGGATTTATAATAATCTCAACTTCTCTCATCATAAAAAAAGATCCTTTTTATCCGCAGTCAAAATCTGGATGCTCAACCTCATCGGTCTCACGATGAGAATTATTTGTCCGTCCATTGGCACTTAAACGGGGCGCTGATCGACGTGTCTTTTCAGCGACTTTTCAAAGCTGGTGGGTGTTTGAAGGCTAGCGTTACTGCTTTTGGCCCTTTGGCTGCCAGCTTCCTGTTCCCAGCGGCAATCAAAATAGACAAAAGCCTGCTTAGCCTCGCGATCTGTCCTAATTACAGGTATTCAAGCATTTCATATTCCATCCTCGCAGAAGATGCAGTTTTCCCACGACTCGGTACAAATACTTACCAAGTGCAACGTATTTGCCGTGCACTTTGCAGAGAGGAAACTGTGGCTCTCATAGTCGGCGTCAATAAACGCACAAAGGATGGGCACGAGCACTCCTGCCATGGACGGAACCGAGAGACTTAAAATTAAGTAACAGAACCCTACACTGTTTCAAGAAGACATTAATACGGAATAAATTCTATTTAAACGGATACTAGGTTTGTATCCTTACCATTTTTCGATGATATTGTTCATTTCTTCTGGCAGCCCACATGTACCTCAAACCCCTTCTTTTAGCACGTGAATTTCCACCGTAATTTAGCTATACCAAGTTTGTATGTGTTAAGCACACAAAGTTACAGTAGTTGCTCATTCATCCATACTGTCATATTAAGCTACAACATTCGGTAAATATTCAAAGATAGATAACCATTGTCATACCGATTGCTTCGACCTAATAAATAATTATCGACTTTCTACTATCAAACATTCTTGACTTATCCACTCCTCATCTTTGATATTCAAACTAATTACATAAAGTCTAATAGCATATCCCTATATAAGTCTACGAGCCAAGAACACTTTTCATAAAAGGTACGCAGTTGTAACAGTAGGACACGCTTTATCCAAAGTATAAAATATCAGGTTTTAAAACAAATGTGTATACCACACGAATTTGAACTCCACCCAAGTTCCTCTTATCGCTACTTCTGTCTTGTCCTGGTGTCAGTCGAACATCCTACCTACCTACCAGACATCCCCCACAATTGTGCAAGCGTCTCGCCCCATCGAGTTGCGACTCAATTGCAGACCGCGACGATAGAAACCGAAGATTCAGTGAGCTCTAAAGACTCTGCATCACAGCTAATCAAGCCAGCGTCCTTGTTTGTATATGAATCGCATTATGGATTTTACGACCAATGAGTCGGATGTGGACATGATGCACGACGACTCGATGCTAAATGCCAACTTGGCGGCGCAATATGGTCATCCGCAGCATCAAGTACAGCGTCAGCTTCCACCTCGATCGAGTATGTCGGGCATGAGTGCCGATCATTCCGTCTTCCCAGGTGTTTACGTGCCTGGCTTAAGCCCTATGGACCAACCACAACAGGGCGACGCTATGGAAGAGTATGCACGATTAATGGGCATCAAAGTTGAAAATGATGATCCGAATGCCAACGCATTTGGTGTGCCAGGCCACAATAATGATGTGGCAAAGATCCAAGCTAATGCTGCTTACTTTGAAAATCTCATTAACCGCGATCGGAACGATGCCATGGATGATGGTAACAACGTCACGTCCATGACGCTACCAGCGGGTATTGGTAGTGGTATAAATGGGTTCATGGGTGCACATATGCCGCCCGGTCCGCCCATGTTCAATTCTAATTCGGAATTATCATTCCAAGATGGAGGTTCGCGACTGTACGACCCGTCGTCTGGGTTTCCAGGTCCAAACCCGCCTTTACCTTTCCATAAGGGACCACAAGTTCGAGCCAGTATGTTGCCACCTGATATGATTGGGTCGCAAACTCTTCCACCTGAAATTATTTCAGCTATGATTAAAAATAATCCAACGCACAATTTTGAAAATTTAAGTGAAGACGAAAAACAAGCTTTGATCAAGGAAGAAAAATCACGTGAACGCAATCGAGACCATTCACGTAAATCGCGTCTACGTAAAAAAGAGTTTGTTGAATCACTAAAACATGAAGTCGGACAACTTCAAGTGTACCAACAAATTTGTGAACAATGTATGGATTGTATTGCCCTCGTTGTTGCTGAAAGTTCGGCGGTGATTTTATTCTCGAGTGCGGCATATACACGTGTGCTTGGTTATCAAAACCATCAGATTGTACCGGGACAAACGAGCTTTTTGGATATGGTGCATCCTGTAAGTTGTACAGGAATTGTGGAATTTGGGAGATTTCTAATTTTTTATGTTAGGATAATGTACAGGAAGTTCGCGCTGTGTTTACGAAGCTAAGTACGCTTGGCGAGACCCATAGATGTAAGGAAATTGGATTTGTTGAGACTTAGCAGGGTTGACGTGTGTGTCTTTATGTAGTTAAATTTCGGATAAAATCCATGGATGGCGAATACTTCAACGCAGAGACAAGTGCTCGCCTTGCTGAAAAGGGAGTCGTGTGTTCGACTCGTGTGGACCGCGTCATGTAAAGTGCACGCTTGATGTAGCACTCTCTGTAGCGTTGCAACGATCGAAAATCTCGGAGTGATTAGTCAATAGCAGGAAGAGACCATTTTGTTGGTTGACAAAGCGCTGAAGCTACCGTAGGTCAAACGGAGAGCAACTAGCGTGGTGAAATACTTGGTACAGCGTCAGTGAACGTTAATATACAGAAGGCGTTTTTGATGGTTGGCATATCGTGGAAATCATTTAAAGAAGAAAAATGGTGACGTCAGCATTTCGGTCCTAGATACTGTACGGCTTAACTCAAATTTAATATTGATTTTAGCAAAAAGTTAAGTTTTGGGTCTTTCGTCATCAGAACTCAATTGTCGATTCGAACTGGGTTTCTTACTTTTTTAAACAAATGAGTCGCAGAATCTCAAATATGATACGACGACGAATGTATTGGGACTGTCGCTAAAAAAAGATTTGGTATCCGTCTACGTGAAGTAGCTCTAAGATCGTTGAGGTCAGTATTTATTCCAAAACAGTAACATATACGCCAGATCTGGAACGTTGCAAGTGACGCATGTGCAATTTATAACCTGAAATAGTACAGACAAACGGTACATTTGTTGAAGTAAGTGAGAAGACCATTTTATATCAATACATATAATAAGTTCACTTAGATATTCGGTAGATAACGAAAAAACTGTTTCTTGTGTATTTAGTCAAAGATTGTGCTGTCGGACATAATACGTGTAACAGTGGTATACTTAAGAACAACCCACTTTTTTTAAGTAATTCTGTGTCTCGAACTCATTTCTACGCATAGCATTTTTCGCATCCAAGACATAGAGATAATATTGATTCTCATAAAGAAAATTCAGCTAAGAATTTGTACTTCATTTCAAAGCTGCACAGCAATCGCCTCTGAATAAAAAGGTAGAAAAACCGTTAGCTTCAAGAGTTTATGAGTCACTATTTTAGGCATATGTATACATGTACGAAAACTTTAGGGAGTACCCTAAATAGTTCAAGAAATCCGTAAAGGAACGCACGCAAGCTCCGGCTGCAGAAGAACGAATAATTCAAAGTCAGACGTGGCAATGCATCAACTTACGTTTTGAAATTCAGTTAAGAACTAATTATCTTACACTCTTCTGTGAATTTTTACATGTAGTATGATTGTATTGAATTTGACGAGCTCACTCTTTGGGATGAGATGAATCATTATTGTAATACAAAATTGCCTAGCTCTTAAGTCATCATCAGATACAAGTAATGTTGCTCTATTATACCACTTCAGCTCATGCTCTTTCTGAGCTCATGTCCACAACGTTTCGAGTGCCCAATCGATTCGTGGTCGATTAGAGTATCTAGTCTGAGACATCATGACAGTTGTCACAACATCTTCTTACAGCAATACCTTCCAAGTCCATGATATTTAATGTGGCAGCTTGAGCATTCCCTGCTTGCTTAAATTAAAATCAGTGCTTGTCTGGTCATTCCTACCGTCTGTCACTACCTCACATAACTCAATAACTACCAATGTGTCAGGTTTTAAGCCTTAGCAAAGCTATGAACCATGTGGTTGTGCTATTTCCGGATGGTAAACTGACCTCCTGTATGAGACCATTCTCCATTGCACACACTTGTTTATGTTTTGAATTGCTCTTTTTCTATCGCTAGTATTATTGAGTTGTTACAGCAACATATGCTCGACAACAAGATATTGTGCGGAGAGCAACTTTGTGTTGCTTGATTATTGATTTGTGCTGTATCTTTTGAGACAAATTACATGAGTTGAAATGTAAATTTTGAGCTAGATTTTGTCTTTTTTTTACGTTCCACAAAAAATTACGAACACTTGAAAAAACGAAATTCACTTTATTTCTGTGCAGTTGGACGTTATCAGAGATACCGAAGTATCGGTACTGATGAAGATGATAGGTTTCCGGAAAGACACTTTCGTGGTTTACGTTGTCGTTTAGACTCAGGTTAAGCAAACAAAAATGATCAACTATCGGTGGTAGTAACATGCATATGCTTTGTATCAGTTGAGATAAAAAAATTCCAGAGCAAACGAAGTCCTGAGTGATTTAGAAGCTCTCACTTTCGCTCTTCGACAGAACGTACGAAGTAACCTCTTTCGGCGTATACGTACTCATTAAGTTTAGGTAAGACAAGCCTGTTGCAACGGACACACTAGAACACAATCGACGACCAAGTCATGAACATCTCAATTCTCTCTGGGGATGAACAGGTTGTGTGATTACCAGTCTTCGTGACAAGTGGACAAATTTGGTTAGCTCATGTCTGTCGTTGCTTCCAAGAGGATGCAAAGTGGTGGAATTAAACGGTAATTGCATGCCTGGAGGGGCTCACAAGCTAGAAAAATGCCCTGTATAGATACTTATCTTCCTACCTGGGCATATCATTGTGTCGCGATGTATGATACTTGCCGACTAAACGAATACGAGTTTTGAGCTCAGTACAAGTTTGCTGACGGCAGTAGATGTGATCATGCATCAGATGGAGCAATCTGCCTTGTTTCAATGAGGCTCAATCCGCAACGAGGACAGGAAATACCATGCAGAATCTTTCCGGAAATTCATTGGGAATTTGGGTGAAGTTGGATTTACGCAAGCCGCCTGTGTTCGCACCGCCAGACCAGGCGTACTGGACGCATTTCATGCTCGTACCCACCTGTCAATAAAGTCGAGGCTAGCGTTGTATGTCCACGCTCTTCAAGCTCTTATCACCAGATTGGCGGCAACTCTTCTTTCAAAGGCAATAATAGTTACCACCTTCTCAGAGGTGTATCCGAGCGAGAGTGGCTTGCATTGACACCTTCCGCGTCTACCCACTTCTTTCAAGACAGTAGCAAACCCTGCATTAAATCTGGAGGCAATTTACGAGCCGTGACAGGCAGTCAGGGAACCGGAATTAAAAACTCTATGTGCGGGACAGAGGTGGTGGATTTCAGCCATACTGAAAAGGAAGAGAGGATTTTATGCTGCTGAGAAGCTTTGTCGTATTTGCAGATGCATCAATTGTGGCAATACAAAACATCTGCGCGTTTGTGCTCCCTTTTCAATTGCTGAGATGGAATATGGTCAAACTTCTAAACAAAAATATCCGACGAGGTCCTCTCGAGGAAACAATGAGTGTAGGGTGGTCAGCTTGGAGAATGCTGGGCTCTTTTGTATCTCATGGAGGCCAGTGTGCAGCCCGAATTGGTGGTTGTCATCATCAACGTTCCGGTATTTGTGATGCCGTGGAAGATTCAGGAACATCGTGTGCATCGTGTGGTTACGTATGAAATGCAACAATCTTAACTATGTATAGTATGCGGAAGCATTGAAAATGCCGGATACGAATACAACATTTCTGCGTCTTGCGACATGAAACTAATGGAAGTGTCAAAATCTGTTGTATGTTCA